TTGTTTTCCGTTGTTTTTTTGTTTCATAAAAAAAATTTGAGAAAAGTTTTCCAGAAATTTTTTGAAAATTAAAAAAAATATTCCGATTACAATTTCTTTTTATCCGGAAGCATTATTGAGGATTTGGTCAAGGATTGAATCCGAGGGTCAGAAAAATTTCCTTTAGAAGGCCCAACGAAAGCCTCGACTCCCAGCCAATTTCAGACTCTGTAACTCTGGAATAAGTAACTCCCTTGTCATTATAATGGGGCATCCCGGCTTGTAGGTAGTACAGGCTTACCAGGTAATGTGGTAGTCCTTGATTCACCGTCTTATCGAGCACCAATCCATGGTCTTCCCAATAATCCCTGAACTTCAAGCCGGCCTTATCCGACATTTCAATATGTTCGTCTTCATCCGTCGACAGAGATCAATCCCAGTGATTACAGTTACGCCAGCATCACCATCCACCGAATAATCAACACATTGTCGTCAATCCCATATCAAAATATTATGGAATTGGAACTCCGATGAGACTGTAACAACGGTTGAATCAATACCCGTGGAAGTGCTCAGCGATCTTGAAGAATCAAAACACTGAGGCACAATTGGGATTCCACTTGGTCCAGTTGTTGTATTGTGAACAGTCGCATTGTCTTTCGTTGCTACTCTAGGGAATATTGGATAAACAATGGCAGTGATATCACTTACGAAGAAGTACAATATGAAAATCGATGGTAGAACACCGGCAAATGGAACACAAGGGCAAGTCCAATGCAAACAGTGGCATGTTTATTTCATACGAATCAGACGTGAAGCAGGCGACTCGCAGAAATGGATGAATGTAAACATAAACTATCACGACATTTTACTCTGGCACTCGGTGAAGACAATACTACCGCAAACATCGACTTTTACTAAATGAGATGAATGTAAATAGGTCTCGTAAGGCTATTCTGCCCCGTCTTAGTCGAACTTACTCATTTTCCCAAGAAAATGAAAGAAAAAATAAAAGTTATTGAACAATTTTCCTTGAATTTATGAGAAAATGATAAAAATAATAATTTCGCATCGACTGCCAGTTGTCCCAGAGTTTTTCTCAAACGTTTTTCCCCGCATACATTGAATAATCATATCTAGAGTTGCCCCATCTCTTCGATAAAATAGATCAACTCATATCACACTCAATATGTCGAACGCCACGAATAGCGCATAAAAATTCATACCCCCCATTGGCATTCCCTCCACGTGTCTCTATTCTTTTTCTCGCCTTTTTTTTTTCGTCACTTTTTTGCATCCCCTTCACACATGGGCCGGAACCGTGTCAAAATGCGTCTGCATTTTTTTTTCTTCCAGAGCTCCCTCCAGTGCGCCCAAAGTGCAGGTTGGGGTGTCCATTAAGTCACCGAGAGTGAGATAATACCCCGACGCTTGAAAGAGAGACATAAAAAAATAGGGGGAAAAGGCCAGAAGGGTCCCTCGTGTGACCAGACAGACATGTGAGGGGTGTCTGGTGTCTCAAGAGCACCACTTGAGAGTGCATCATCACATGGTATAACGTCACTCCTGTTACTAGGTGATTTTTCTGGGGTGAGAAAAGATTCATCGACTGTTTGGAAAGACAACTGATTTTATAGAGACATTTCCGGGACACAGGACCTTGAAAATACAGCCAATTTCCATCGGCAATGATAAAAGAGTCAATCCACTGAGTGACGAGACGAATTCACTCCATTTCAATGCTCTCTTCGGTAAATCACTCGTGAATTATCCCTTTAAATCGTTCAACTACAAATTCCCTCGTTCGCCATAAGAAAATGAGCAGAGGCAAATGTTTCTTCATAGTTTAACCCAGAAATTATGAATTCAACCCCAACGTTGATTACTCGAGCGTGCTCTCGCGTTCTTATGATCTTTATACGATCTTTTTTTTACCCCGCTCTCCAGTGTTCTAGGTTTTTTTTTTTTTCTATGAAATGGGGGGAAAAAATAGCGTACGAGGTTTTTCCGTACGTGTATACTGAGTGAATTCGCGTTGCTGCACGTAACTTTGAAACGTGAAATAAAATTTTATGCCTTGTGTATGCCTCAAGAGCTAAAGGGGAGAAAAAACAGCGAGGACTGCGGAGATACCTTTCCACAAGCCCTGATACTAGCTTTTTCAGAGTGCAAAGCAGCTACCACCGAGGAGTGGATGGAGGGTGGGTTTAAGAATGCATGGTTAACTGTAAGACACATTAAATTCACGAATAAAACATTATTCTATTTTCTCGGTTTGGAAACAGACAGAATCTACGACACGACAGAGACACGAGCTCTTTTATTAATTCATGTCGAATTTTTTTTATATGAACAATATGTAAATTGTTGGGGGCGTGATTATTCATTGTGATGATTAGAATTTGAGATGTAACTATTTGGAATGTAAAAATGTTTAACAGTCGATGGAAATTAGAGCTATGAAAAAATTAATGAGCTTTGAAACGGGACATAATTAATGTCTGAAAATGGGGGGAAAATTGGCCTGAATTTGTGGTGATACGGTTAGAGGAAACCATCGCGTTTTTTCTGAAAAAGTGCAGGGACCATCGACTCTTGAAGTTTTCCATCGTTCTAATCAGATTACGCCTACTCGTCCTACTCCTCACAAAAATGTCAACACAAGGTCTCGGCATTGTTCACTTGGCATTTTATCTCTGTTTTCTGTTTTCAACGGGGAAGTGGAGGGTGAGGATAACACCACGCTGTCCAGTCGTAAAGAAACAACTTTGAACCCATGTTCTGCAGAGACCAAGCATACGGTGTCGCAGTGAGCACCAGAAATATCTCATATAGGTATGTACAGAGAGACCGGATGGTGGATGAAAAAGAGACAGAGGAAGCTGAACGCGCTGGAGAAAAATTACGACAGGGATAACGTAAAATTGCGGGTACACGGTGAAATATGTCTTTCAAAATTTACTATATTTTTTCGTTGAGTCCCTCGTATGTTTCGCCAAACAGAAATTTCCACTCCTGCAAATTAACGTTCGTCACTATTGCAAATTTTTCTTAACTTTCGTCAACCTCTCGGAATATTGGAATAAAAAATATATGTAGTGTCGGTCAAATTTTTGTCTACTTCAAAATTCTTTTTTAGAGCTGAATTATGGAATTATATTATATTTTTTTTTATCGTCTTCAACTTCTTCGACAAGTTAAAAGAAAAATCTTCAATAGCGAATATTTATAATATGTGAATATTCTTTCGGTAGTGAATTCCATGAGTAGTAGAATACCATGAAAAATTTTAAGGATTTTACCCGTTGTATGCAGTAGAAAAAGCCAGTCTGACGGCATGTCTGACATGCAATTCCCTAACCACTGAATGACGCTTTTGTAGTTTTAATAAAATTAAATATTCAAGGATTGTGGCCAGCCAAAGCTGGTAAATGAAATTTTCAGATGCCTCGCCATCGGAAAATGTCACAGCATGCAATCACAGAGAATTAAAAAAATCCTAAATTCCCGATTCCATCATCAATTAACAACAAAATCGATTCGTCCAATTCGTAGATGCAGCGAATTTGTAATACAAAATAAATAAGAAGAACAAATACGTAAACACGAATTAAATTATAATAACGAACGTCAAATAACGTATAAATAAAAAACAATCGGTTTGCACCTGTCACTCAAATCGTTCTGATAATTTTTATCTACCTTTTCTCTGTATTTTTCTTCATTCACATAAAATTTCTATTTCCAATTTCCTCGATTCCTCAGTGGAGAATTGTTGTAATTTCGTGATAAAAATAAGGGTCCAAGCGACATTGTGAAAGAGAACAATCGAATTCCACTCTGTACTACCCCATCACTGTCAATTCATCAGGCGGCCATTAAGAGTGGCAGATTAGAGGGACAGAATTCCGAGGTGGAAAAAAAAAATCCAAGTAGAAGAAAATCAATTAGGTGTCCACTTCATTGAATCCCAGCGTTGATTCACTCAACTATACCGCTCCAGGAAACGATCGCCTTCCATTCTCCAAGAGGATGGATTCTTAGATCTGGAACGAGTGACCGGGCGACTTCGAGTAGAAAATTGCAACACTCGAAATGGTCGTGTTGTTATCGACGAATCAGAAGTAAATCGACTGGGATAAATGAAAAAAGATTGAGGGGACAATTAAAACGTCAGTTTTATGTATCTGATCGGATTAACTCAAGATTCAGACGTCCAGTGATGACATTTATCTTCTGGTAAGCGAATTATGGATCGATAAATTTAATTTACGGTACCCCAGTTCGGTCGAAGAGAGGAAAATCTATTTTAACGATAGAAAAAAATTCAACCTCATCATTTACTATTTTTTGTGAGGGTACTTTATCATTTATTTAGGTTGATTATCGATTGCTAGATTGTTTTGAAAATGGACTATTTCGCTGCTCAATGTTGTGAATTCAATTTGTCGGGCGTAATTGATTCAATTTGAAATTTAATCAGTAATGAAAGTGATTATTCATCTAGAAAATTCAACGGAATTATTCAATCAATAAATTTTAATTGATCTTTGGTAATTCAAGGAGAGTTTAAATTTTTACTAATTCATGACAATTAATCGTTGTATGTTATGTCTTAAAATTTTCTCGACGAGAAAATTTGGCGAATGAAAAATCAGATCACGTGTTAAAAGGCAAACTCGAGGATTGGAATGTTGAGTCACGATTGCAGAGGTGAAAGGAGATAAATGGAGAATAGAAGGACGAATGAGGATGATTTGATTTACGACAGGATGAAGAGGTGTTTTCCATATCCAATGGAGTATTCTGGGGTTAGTCTCAGACAGAGAGAAAATGCGACAGACTTTGCGGTGTATGAACCCCAGTGATTCGTTGGCTAGATAAAACCACTGGCATCGATATCTCATCGTGGATTGAGGCAATACAATGGGATCGTCGATCATCCAGTGGGTGTAATCATATGACTGTCATGTTCCGCTCCAGATTCATCGGAAATATATTTTATTTTTTTATTTACTCACCAAAAGATTTGTCTTCCTCAGGTCTCAACTCCAGGAACTGTTCAATTAAAATTCACCATATACCACCACTCGACAGCTCCTCACAAATAATACGATTTAATAAATTAAACTTTGAATGCTGCCAAACGATTTGAAAAGAATCTCAAACGGATTAAAATTTAAGTGAAGTATCTCCGCTAGAGCCGTGGGAATACGTCCACTTGACAAGGATGATCGAGACAAGAGTTTGATGCCTTTATAAAGTTTTAATATCCCGTTAAGCACACTTCCACTGGGGAAAAAAACTCGACGAGATGATGAAAAAAAAAAATTCTGTTCAATTTCTCATTTCAATTACGATGAGGAGAAACTCATTCGACTCATCCATTCGACTTTCATTTTTTATCAAGACTCATTTGTTTCTCGTAAATTCCATTTGGCACAAAAATCACTGAGAAATCACCATTTCGATTTTAAAAAATGAATAACACAATTTCACTCCCATTCAGCGACTAAAGTTAATGAACAGTAGCAATTTTTCATAGAGTGGAAATAAATAGCAGAATGACTACCCCGAAAAAGGAAACAGCTCAAGAGTAAGTGCCTCTCTTATCTAATTTCTGTAATTCAACCTCAATTCCACGCGCATAAATTTTCTAGCGTTAAACTCCACGAGCTTATCTTGGATTTACAGAAAATTCCAACGGCTGAGGGAGAAGAACAAAGCAGAAGTGTTGGAAAAAATGGAGTAAGTTGAAAAACACGGAGGATTTTATCGTTGAGAGTCTACTACGAGAATCACTGAATCGACTGGTTTTTACTTCTAGGAGGATCCACGCGCAGCAAAAAGCCGCAACCTTTAGCAAGAGGTATGGCCTTTAACATCGTTGATAAATTTCATGAAAATTGATGTATCAATTAATTTAGTAAACAGAAGGGAAGAGAGGAGAAAGCAGCGGCCGAGGCGAGTGGGTGAGAATAACGAGTGTAATCACTTTGTATGAGGCACGTTTTCTTTTTTTTTTTTCACTCTAACGAGACGCCTTTTGCCAGGGAGCCGGTAAAAAAGCCTGAGGAAAAACTCGGGAACACAACAGAGAGGTGGAACGGACTGCTAATAAGTACTAACTATCGGTGATTGAGAAATTGTAATGAATTTAATTTTGTTGCTTAGGAGAGTTCCCGGGGAAGAGACAACTCGTGTGAACCCACCGTGAGTGTTACATTTATTATTAAAATGGCGGTAATTTAACACGTCGTTTGAATTTCTGCCAAAAAAATTAATAGAATAACCGGACTTTTCCGAGAGGAATTTTGAAAAGTTGAATCAGTCAAACTCAAGAATTAATTTTGATAAAATCACTTAACAGAATTACAAGAAAAATTCAATAGCAATTTCATGAAACTTCTCCAAGCGAGCATTCGGTTTTTCTATTAAATTTCTTCACACATGAAGAATCAGGGAACACGAAAAGAAAAAAATTGCAAAAAAAAAATCGAAATTGTGCCCTGCTCTATTTGGATCTCTCAGGAATATCGACCCCCTAGCATTACAACCGAGGATGGTACATTGAGTACTATTTTAAATTCCCCATCCAGAACAGACAGAACTTGGTTCACCTTCCTTCAGACTCCTACAAATTGAAAGGAAAGAAGAAAAGTAGATTTTCTCACTGCTCCATTCTCTCTCCCAACGTTTCAACCTCCATAAATACATAACTCCGGATCGAATCAATAATCACAAATTTTCATAGAAAAGAGCTGGAACCAGTGGCTTCACATTCAGCATCAGTGAGGTCACCGCGTGCCCCGAGGAACGGTAAAAAAATTGAATTGTGCGATAAGCCAGACTGTTTATTGCGAAAAACTGGGAATGAATTTTCAATCAATAGTTCGTGGGAGTGACAGTGAGTTATCAGTTGAGAGATTTGATAGAATGAATCAGAGGCATGAGGCATGCACCAACTGCTGTGGGGGTCTCCCAGGACGTGGTCCAGGCACTGGGAGAATTGGTGGAGGTGGTCAGTGCTGTGGTTCTCGTAAAGTGAACCTCTCTGGTACCGCAATACGGGAAATATCAAACGAGCCATCAATTAATCTCACCAAATTGCAGATTACGAGGGAGAGAGATTAAGAGGCGGTGGAGACAATGGTGAATCACCACGTGAGAAATCACCGGAGCGATTCCGTGGTGGATGTGGAAGTGGCTGCTTCCCACCATCTCCACCGTGCTTTCAACTTCCTTGTGCTCATCCACCACGGAATTCGTCTTGTCCACCAACTCCACCAACGTGTTGGCGATCACATCGATGGCAAACCACTTGCCAGAGCCAACGAATTGGAATGAGAGGGAATACAAAGCCCAACTGTCCTTGTGGTAGCTGCGGTGGACCTGGGTGTCGTGATAATCCTGGAAGGACAAGTGATTCTGGATGCTGCAGCCGGGGACCAGCTGTTGGAGCTCCTTGCAAGTAATTAAATCTTACAATTTTTGTTTTATCCATTTCAATGATTTTATTTCATATATTTCGGAGTCGGAAACTGATTTCAAGATATGGAAATTAAATCACGAAGTGGGAAAGTAAAAATAACTGGATTAATGGATGAAACATTTTGAGATTTGATGAAAATTGAAGTTTGGTTGACAAATTTCGAATTCTGGGAGCACCAATTGGCCAAATAATTGAAGTGTTCTCATTGGCCAAATTCTCACAACTCGAAACAACTTTGTTGTATGTTTCCAGGTGTAAATGCCAGTCTTGTCAGAGTTTCCAGCCCCAGGGCGGCTGTGGAGGCCAGTCCTGCGGTAAAATGTACAGTTGCTCAGGTTCTGGAGGTGGTGGATCTTGCTTTCCAAGAAACTACCGTAGACGAGAGGATTCAGGGTGTTGCGGGGGCAGCAGTCCACAACACCGAAGTGGTTGCTGCTGATGAGACTCAGTACACTCGGAAAACTTTCCTCATAAAGCTGACAATTCACCGAAAGTGAAAAGTTTACCGTTAAATGGCACACAAAAACGTGGAAGCATTGGGTCTCGAGTTTTGTTTCACTGTTGCTTTTCCAATACCTCGGCTCATATCATTGTGGGAAGAGATTATTCAGTGAGTGGAAGAACTTTCCGCTGTCGTCAATCGGGGGCTGGTATTTTTTGTTCTAATAAATTGGAAATAATTACAAATAATATTTGGACAAATTATTGCTAATTATTAATCCATTTCTGAATAAATTATCAGTTTCATGTCATAGTGCTGTCAATTGAAACTTTCGAAATTTTTTTGTGTATTCGCTAGATGTCTTACGATTATGAATTTTTCGCAATTTTTTTTTTCCACGAAAATTAATAAATTTCATAATTGAATTGCAATTTTATCGAAAGGAGGATTATTGGGAAATGAACGAAATAGAAAGGAGTCCGGTGAAAATTCAGTTTGACAATTCCTCCAAAGTTTCCACATCTTTCTTGTTCCCATGGTATTCTCTCTAACCAAAACTGGTCACTGGCCTGTCCGTCCGTCTCAACTCGAGCAAGTAACGTTACTCTGTACTTCTCTACTTGGTATCCAACCTCGCTCTTTTGGTTTCCATTAAGCCCCCGTAATTTCAGTCGTGAACCGCAGACACTGAACTACCCGACGGACCCTGGCTAAGGACCAGGTCTCCCTCTGTATCCTAAATGCACAAGAACACTTAGATTCTCACCGTACACGTCGTACTCTTCACTATTTCCACCCTCTATCTCGGTCACTCGGTGTGAGGTGAAAGTTATAGGGCGCTTTCAAACTACCACTCCTGTAAATCCCTCAGTGGTGTATGCAGCTCTGGGTTAATGACAAGAGAACAACGGAAAATCATTGCACTGAGGGATAAAAAGAAATCCCCGAGGCAATCTCTCCTCAAGTCCTCCAGAAAGTTAATGGAAAAGGTTTCAATTTACAGCACTTTTCTTTTATTCATATTACAATTTGAAATTTCAATTATTCAGAACACAGATATTTATTTTTCGGTAATAATAAATTCCATAATTTACTAATTCGAAGTGGTAATGAAGATTTATATTTTTTGGATGATTAAAGATGGGAAAAATCAGTCGCACCATTACTCTCACCCAGTTTTCCCAGTCGCTTGTTGCTATTCCAATTTACGAGATAATTGTAGAATAGAGAGTACCAGTTCGCATCCCCAGGACACTGTATCCTTGCCAAGGGTTAAATCCTCCAAAGCGACGAGACCCTCGTTGATTATGCATGCAACGCACACGTACATGATGGTAGGTCACCCCTGCATTTATGCAACAGTCTCGCTTTCTACAGGGTACGTTAGTCTAGCCTACGAACGCCTCTCCTAGAAGGCACAATCATCCACAACTTTGATCGATAAATTGCCAAACGTTTATCCCATCACAACTTTTATACCCTTCCTACCATCCAGACACCTTTCACCATTTCAAAAACTCTCTTCCGTTTCATTGAAATATAAACCGTGAAGTTTTTTTATGAGAAATGAGCGGAGGGTGGAATGTCTTTTTGACTTGTCGTAAAACACAAACGAGAAATCCCATCCGTTAAGACAAAAGCTGATTCTTACCCCTGCAAAGACATTTTCCTTGGCTTCACCCTCTGACTTTTCCATCGACTTCTTCACTTTCTACTCTGGTGATGGTCCATCGTTCAGGGACAAACCCAAGTACGAGTACCTGTCTTCTTCATAGCCTTTGTGCTCTGGTAATTGGAATTGGAATCACCGGGGGTCGTCTTGTGAAAAGTTCTCCTGACGTCTGACGTCTGGACCCTGAGAGGCATCCAATGTATAGCTTCCATTCCCTTTATGCCTCATTGTTCTCATCTTTCACCTCGATCCCTTATTCTCAGCTGTCTCTTTCTCACAGTCCGAGGTGATGGGGAGAGTAATCTCTGGTTTACGGTTTATTTTATTATTGAATTCGCCAACACTTTCAGCAATTTGTCCACTTCGCATTGACAATGGTAACTAAATCTTCGTCCTGGGACTTTCATCCTATTTGTTAACAAAAAAAAATTTCAAATATTCCAAACGTCTGTTTGAACGTCTATTTGAAAAAAAAAATTCATGGTAGAAATTGTTAATTGCAAAGACAAAAATTATTCGATGTAAATAAAAAAATACTAATGCATCGTAGGGACAATACGCTGATGGATTGGCCCATTAAAAATGCAACAGTCCTGGGAGCAATCGAAAATCATTCCGAGAAATACTCGTTTCACTCTAAAATATGTTTTCTGCATGAGTACACCCTGAAAGAGGGAGTATCACAGAAGTGCCGATGGAATTCTCCCAGCGAGGAATAGGAAAAAGAATAGAAAATGTACTCAGTAAATTCAGGGAGTTGAACCTTCTCCGTTGGACGACAGATGAATAAAGTGTGGAAATTCTATTCTTCAAATTCATTTTCCTTCACAATCTCCGGTGTCTTCCGTGCGACCTGGTTTCCTTCTGCCTACTCTCTCCAACCGGTATTTTGCACAATCAGATGTTCATGCAAAGTGGCCCCGAAGAAAAGTTGGCGGTGCGAGGGAGAATGAGACGACCGATTGATGGAAGAAGAAATGAATAAGGGAAATGTATGATAGAGGAGCAAGAGGAGGCTCTGGAGCAAGTCACTTATTGTTGGGATTGGACTCGACTTCCCAAGATTTTACTACTCGTACCCTTGGAAACTCATTTCACGGAGGCCAGTGGGAAATGAGCTCGTCTCTCTATCCTTTATTATAACACTCCACCACTTGATCAACTTTTTACACAATTTTCCCCTCCAATAGAAGAATTGCATTCGTTGAGTCTCAAGACTATGTGACTACTTTGGAATCGTCACGCAATTTATTCTTGCAATTTTATTGCTTTGTGTTATGTTGTTATTAACGAAGAAAGTTTAATCGAGAAAGAATAAAAGTTACATCCACCTTTTGGTGGGGCTTGTCAAACTATTGGTTACGTGACTGCGTATAAGTATATCGACTTGTTTTAGTGGAGTGAATCAATATATCCGTGGGATTTTGTGGGGTTGAATATGACCGGGGATAACCTTAGAGTTCAGCTGACACCTCAATTTCGATTTGTATTAACAGGATATTAATCGATGTACACCTGAATATAATTCACTGTCGGCGATTATTTGAAAAAAATTTCAATAAAATTGTTATGAAATTTTTTAAGTAAAATCCCGTGAAGACTGGAGCTGAAGAAATAAGAAGAGAAATTCAAGAAATGTGCGCAATCCATCAAATAATAAACATGTATCTGTTCAGTGTGAGCACTCTGACAGCAAGTGAGGATATCCTCAACGAGTGTGAAATAATGCCAGTGATAAAAGCAGAAGGATAGGAAGACGGGTATTCTGACGACAAAGCGTGCGTTTCCGTGAGAGAACGGGTGGAGAATCAGAGCGACTAGGCAGTGAATGGAGACCGTCACGCAAACGGAATGCCAAATGCCAATTTTGTCGTCAGTGAAGTTCATTGAATTTTAACTCCATCGACACTCCATATTTTTCCACGATTCCACACCTTTTTTTTTTGCTGAGAAGGCGTCGCTTTGAAATGGTCAATGGGGGCCACCAATTGGTGGCCATCACATACATCCCATGCGACACAAAAAGTTTGATGAAACACGAGGAAAATGAAGGGGAAAAAACGCTCGCCGAGTGGATAGTCTGGACAATTTTATTTTTCGTTCTTTCGTACTTTTTCTCTCGCTGTTATTTTTTGTTTTTTTTTTCCCTCAGGGGTAGGCGGGGAAAATCACGTGAACCCTCGGTGGTCAACCAACTAGGAAAGCACAATCGATGACTTTTGATGTGTATTTTTACCCGTGGCCTGTTTTTTATGCATACACGAGCTTTCCAACGAACCAATTGTTTAGGATTCATATTTGTATTGGGCAATTGGAAGGTCAACAGAAATAGTAGAGTGGAAACAAAGATGGGAGAGGTTTATTGTGGTTTTTATGAATGCGTGAGGCCAATGGGTTCTTTTATTCCTCTCTACGTGTAGTGTTTCTCTGGCTCTGACAGGTGTACATACCTCTCGTTCTCTTTTGCCACGTTGCAGCTTTTTTTAGTAACATTCGTCGCTAATTGAAGGACATGGACGGTTTTTGTTCTTCGGGGTAATCATTTGATTAACATCACTTCGATGGTTTGGAGTTTAATTCCAAATTAAGTGCTAATTGTCAAAGAAGTGAAGTTTTCATTACAATTAAAGACAATGGAATATTAATTTTCGTGAAGTTGAAAAAAATTGGATGAGCATTGGAGTCCAATTGATTTGGGTTTACATTGTACTCATGTTAATCTTCATAAATTTATTCAATATGTGGGAGAGAATTACTCTGCATAAATTGTATTTAGGATTCTCTAATGAATGTAGGTACCAGGAAATTTTGGGAGGCCGAAAGCAGAGGAAATTCTCACGTAAGACCTCTCTTAACCACATTCAACCCCATGTAACCAACATTTTGACACCATCCCCGTCAGGGTTCCAGCGTGGTCTTCCCCCATTCGTTCTAGTCGTAAATCGAGGCCGAAATGAACGAGCGATGTTACGTTAACTCTCTCTTTTCACCCTCAATCCTCCACCCACTTTTTGAAAATGCTCCCCGTAGTGAAATAAATTGGCGCTCGCGTGTTTACATGCCAGCAAAATTAAAATTCCTCGAGTGAAGGCAAAAGTAGTCGACATGGACAAGTCGAAGCGGTCTGAAGGAGTGTTTAATTAATCACCGGGACTAATTAAAAAAAGCCCGAAGAAAAATATGTTGAGGCCCCTGAAAATTGGAAAAAAAACTATCAAGGCCATACTATTTGGCGTCACTCAATATATAGAATAGTAAATCATGAACGAAAATTGATTGACGCGGATCTACAGCGGTTGTACCGAGGAAAGGAAAGGAGTAAAGCAGAAAAACTTTGGAAAATAATAAAAAGAAGAGGAAAAAAGGAATGGCTGACGATTTATCTCACATCCCGAAATTCTGGTCCTGTAAAATAAAATCCTGGACTACATGCATTGAATGGATCTCGTTAAATCCAATTGATTGAAGGACTGGAAAATGAGGCCTAATGATCAGCCCTAATGCACTGATATTTACCGATAGAGTACCGACGATTCAATTACTTAGAAGGGAAGAGGAATATGAAACAATGAAATGAAAGCGGCAGTAGCTTCTAGAAAGGCGATAGGAGGGGAAAGGGTTGACCAGTCGCCATGGATTTTGTATGTGAAAACGTCGAACCGGGTGCTTTCATCGGACCCTCTGGAACATGTCGTATGTAGCACACATCCCGTCTATATCCTTTGAAGGTACACGACGAACCGTTAAATTCAGTCTCGAATGGAGCATTGACGATTCCTCTTGGAAACCGTAATGAACCGACCATTGTGCATCAGCAATTAGACTGTTTCAAGTTTTTTTCTTTCTCCAACACTATTGGATGTCCATTAACGCACAAAACTCTATTTTGATGAACGATGAGTAGAGAATGTGAAATTATTTTCGTGAATGGATCTATTTTGTATACACCATTCAATATCAAAACAGAAAATAAATGGCAGGAAACGATCCCCAAATTCAATTGAATTCTCCCGTTCAATGGGGGGCTGACTGCATAATTAATTAGTTCGATGGAATTGATTATGCCCTATTTATGGGACAATCATTTTTGCTTTTGTGCAACTGTTTGCACACGCTCCGGGAAACTTAATTAATTTTAATTGTGAAAAAGGATGGGTTTTAATGGAAAATGTCACTGATGAGTTTTGGGTAATAGATTCATTACTCTGACTGGTTACAGCCGATGAAATTTCATCGCGAATCTAGTCATGAGAAAGGATTTAATCATGCCACGAAATGCCAAACGCTAAGCACAAAAAATTTTCATATCCCAGAAAATTTCTCAGTACAAACAACACCCAGAAAACATTATATGTAAAATATTTAAAACGTAGAAAATTTAGAATTCTATTGCAATTTCCGCAGTTCATATGTGAGCTGTGATAAATCGAGAGGAAATTAAAAAATTAATGAATCTTTTGAAATAAATTGCCCCCAGCTGTCCACCATGAAAAATACAAAAAAAAAATGTTAAATTTAGATTCAAAATGACAACAGTACCTGTACGGCTATTTTGACAGGGTATCCCCTCCATGTTTGATGAACGATCCTGTGTCACGGTACTAAAACCAATTTATTATGCAATTTACCGTGGAGACAATGTAAGCTCGTAAAACAAAGTCCCCGAGTTATATGTCCGTTCATCGATAGCACACGGAAGATAATCCTGGCTACGAGAGCCACACGAATTTTGTTCGTTTGTTACCGTTCGATTTATTTTCAGGATAACAATAAACCAAAAACTCTGACGAACCAAAAAAAAAAACCATAAAAAATATATATCCTCAAATACGGCCAAAAATACGGTTTTCCGCGTCAGGAAACTGGGAATATAAATGACAAAGGCCGTTGTGAATATTTCGTCGGGTTTAGTACATAGTGGCATGTCCCAAATTTAAATTACATTTATTTATAAAATGTCACATGTAAAAGTGATACATTTATCAATAAAAAAGTCGACGAGTTACATTTCATAATGTCCAATCGTCTGCGGTTCATGTGCAATTCAGTTGAGCCGCCGTTTTTGTTCGCTCGTATTTCCAGGTCACGTTACCAATTTCGCACATCATTTATGTAAAATAATAATGAGAGAAAATATCCGATAATTATGTTCCGTTTTTAATTAATCGCATGCTATTGTTCTGAAATATTCACATCTGTGAAAATTTTTTCGGTTCTCGAAAATTAATGTGCACTTCACTTTGAAATCAACAGTTAAAATGTGAAAGAGATGAATTAACTTATCCGAAAAATGTCCTTATTAAAAAACCGCGAGGTCTCCCCGAGAACGAAATGAAAATAAAATCACATGGGAGTTGTAATAAACTCGATGAATTCCTAAAATCTCTTAACTGTCAACCAATCTCACGTGATCATTGCCAATTCTCCTCAAGTTTCGAGAAAAGCGGTGCGAATCCAATCTCGAAAATGGCTGAAGTATGTGAATCCAGTGTAGGACTGATAATCACAGCTGTGATCCCTGACCGGGCTGACACTGACAATTCCCCGCAAGTACCAAAGGCCATTGCTCTCGAAGAACAAACCACCGCCGCTGTCACCCTCACACAGACTCGATCCTAAAAACCATCGAGGAAAAATAATTATCACAAAAACAGGATGTACATGACAATAAAATATTGGACAGAGTTAATGATCTACCGTTTCGGTAACCAGCGCAGAACTTGTCCGGTGTTATATAGCCCCGGAAATCCTCCGGTACGTCAGCCACACACTGATCGAATGACACGAATGGTACATTTATTCCTCGAAGCTCTTCACTAGCTTCACCATTCTCAGTTTTTCCCCAGCCAACAGCCTGATATAATTCATTCATTCATTCCACCCGAGGTATTATCCAAGCCTTCATTACGTTAACAAAAATCGTGACACCATTTTTTTTCTGACAATTCGTTGCCGCAAATTGTCAAAGTGGAAGAAAATTATTGTTATGAAATAATAATAAAATGCGACGTTCGTGAGTGGTCGAGGCGGGTTATTGGATGAAATAAAGGTATTGAAGATGAATTGAAGTGAAAGAATGATTAAAGACAAGTACCTTTCCATATCTGCCAACTTGGAGGTGCTCACGTTCTAGTACGTTGTCCCAGTCGAGGCAAACTGGGTGGACGAGATCAGTTAATTCGAATGGAGTTTTCAACTCCAGGAGAGCAATGTCCTGGGCAAAGTTTCCCCGTGCACCTATGTAACGTTTTGCGATATTTATCCTCTCGATCCGAGATTTTTGAGCGTAATCTTCGTCCCTGCTCCAACTTCTGTAGTGTTTACCAGCTGCTGCGTAGAATTTCGATACTGGTTTTGGTTCATTTATGCTGTCATCGTAAAAACAGTGCGCCGCTGACGAATGCAGGTTTAATGGGCAGAGATTAAAAATTAATTATCCTCAGAGAAAATCACTTGATTCAAGAATTCAATGTTAACGAATTAATGAATGAGCAATTGTGCAATTAATGATTCGCCCATTTTGAAGGACGGACGTCTTATCCGAATAGTAAATAAATTTTTCCACAATTTTTTTATGGGATATCTTGATGATTTTTTTTTTCGAGATTCTGTTGGCAATAAAGTAACTATGAAAGAGCGGATGAATGGAGATGAAAATCATTCTCTCTGGTCCATTTATAAATCTGCGTTCTACCTGAAACAACGAGATTGCTGTTTATCAGTGTACCAGCGCAGATCTGCTCGTAAACATGCCTCGACTTCTTCTCGTATATACCAACGTGCCAGGGGAACACTCCGACCTTGGCGGTAAAACCGTTTACGACTAGGGTACTTCCGTGTGCTATCGTCGTACCGCATTCTGATAAAGGAAAATATTTAGATTAGGGTGCTTTTTTCGTGGGATTTTCATTAGTAATTTGCATAATTTCGGTGTTTCCCCTCGTAAAATGCAATCTACGAAACTGCTCGAGGATTATTTTAATTTCATGCAAATTAATTATCTCTGATCAATGACGATCATTTAATAATTTATGTAATTTTAGGGAGAATAAAATTGAAATTAAGAGATTACGTATAAGTGGACATTGAGTAATTCGATGATATGATGGTTTTGAGAGGAGCAAGTGAATAATTACTTGGAAGACACCTGAAGAGAATTCGATCCCAGGATCCTTTTCTCGTACAGGTAATTTCTCTGTATGCTGGATCCTCCGTTAATGGGATCTTGTAAGAGGGTTTACAAGCTAGAGTTGCATGTGTTGCAGGTTCCACTGGTGCATCACAAGCTACTTTACTGCCCCGTAACTTGCATGTGATATCGACACTGGTGCTCTCCAATGGTGGACAAGTTTCTGTGACACAAAGTCAAAGTCAGTCCTCGCCTCTCGTCTCTGGTTTCGAGGAAAACTTTATAGTGCCAGCATTTAGGGCTTGTTCGGTACTCACTCAGGCACGATGGTGGCATATACCACGAGTCGTTCAAACATACTGACACTGCACTGCCATTTCGCACAAAGCCATTGTCACATGTGTATGTCAATACACTTGTGTTTGGTACAAGATCGCCGGGCTCTTTATCACAGGGAGAATTGCAACCTCCGAGATCGTAATGGCCACCTGGAGGTTGATGAGGCAGACGACAGCCCAATTCTGATTCATTCTTGGGTCTTGTTGTTTTTCTGGAAATTATTTTACCAAAATTTTTGAACAAATACTAATTATTCATTCATATCAATTATTAATAAACCCAAATTTCGCTGCTGATCTTCTCATGAATAATATAATGAGAATATAACGAATATATCCTCTCATTGTTCATCCTTCTCACTAATAATTTAATCTACCTTCGATAAGTTCCAGTCGAACTCGTTCCATAATTATCCTGCGCAGGTCTCATCGTCGTAGACCTACTCTCTTCGCTTCGACCCAGAAAACCACGATCCGCATTCAACGGCTCGCTCCCATCACTCTCTTGTAAATTCGTGATCGATTTTCTGCTGTCTTCATTACTCCCGTCGTCCACATTCTCCCCGTAACCACTCAAAATCTCAGGCCTCGTCACATCATGATCCTCAGTGACCTCATCTCCATGGGCAGCTTTTGGATCGTGTCTCCTGGCTCCATCATCATCAACGTCATCGATTCGACTGCTGTATCGATTGTCCTGAGACTGAGAATTTGCATTCTCCTGCGACCGATAAGCGCCTGAATTTTCTCGAGACACTTGAGCTCTTCCTACATTTACATTTCCCGTAAAAATATTAACTCCGGATGATATTTCCCCATCGTTACCCTGGAAACCACTTTGACCTGGTCGTCTTGGCTCTTTATTGTTGCTGTCGTAGTGACTCCGTTGTTTCGACGACTGGGGTAGTCTCCTGTTCCCTTGGTTAGCGTCTTGATTAGGTTTTGGCCTTATTGGATCCTCGGCATTTCCGAAGGCAATTGTACCCTGACCGTTGCCAACTGTCCAGCCCTCAAGAAACCCATGGAGCTCATTAGTGGGTGACTTGATAGATTGATGGGGAGTTGATGACGAGGACGGGTAATCCTGATGATTCACGCCCAGTCGTTTGTCCTGAGCATTTTTATTCGCTTGAGTATCGTAAAATTGTTGATTTTCTTCGGGCGTTCTCCTGTGATCTTGAAATGAGCCTGCAGAACTTCCCCTGGACACCTGATATCGTCCCCTGGACTGGAACTCCGATGACTTTAGCTGAAAATTTCTAGAAAATTCATACTCATCCTGCGGTGCACGACGTCTATTTCCAGTCGATGTTTCCGGAAATTGTGAGGGGCTATTCCGTGGATACCGACTGCTACCACTATCCACCGATCCAGAGGGAACATCCAATATTCCAGTGTTCAAAGAGATACCGAGATTCCTTGTATTCTCGGAATTTCCGTTGTACCTCTCGTTCGCTCCATTACACTCTGTGGAAAAAACAGAGAATAAGTATTATTTGTAATCAATTAAACGATTCTTCTTCATGGCGATGCTCAGGCTATAAAATTTCAAGTTCATTTCAATCAACTAAAAATAATTCTCTGTATTTTTTATCTGAACATTTATTAATATTTATTATTCATCATAAGAACAGATTTTTTCAATGGAATTTTTATTGAAATGTTGCAAAATTAAGTGTTGATTTTTTTTTTATTGGAATGCATCGGCAGTCGCCTTGGGACTGCAAGCCAACCGAGACGAAGATGCGAGTTCAAGGCTAACGAGCTACTCATGTATTTTCATCAGAACACGTTTACATACTGGTATTACTCATTTGGTGTAAAGAGTGAGAGATAACTATTATTTTAGAATTGAAAAATCTGCAATGATGTGAGAAGACGCCACTTTCTCATGAATAACAGGAAAACCAGTTGTTTTTCAAAATACTTGGGGAATTCCCACAACGCAATGACTGCACAATTATGGGGAAAAAAATGTTTGGATGTTATGAAAAAATTCGATTTTTCTGCATTCAAAAAGTTGACGAAAAAAAATAACCACTCTCTGCAATTCACTTCAATAAAACCTTTTGAAAAAATTGGGCGATAAATTTGTTACAAACTTTTCTCCGCCGTATCCACTCGCGAATGATAATTTCAAAATTACTGATTATTTAAATGAATAAAATGACTCACTATAAATGCACAGTATTAACAGGACCAATTCGACGGAAGTCATTGTCTCAGTTCTCATTTTATCGGCTAACTTTTTTAACAACTCAGGAAAGACCAGTGAATTGTTGATCAAGACGAAAATGGAGTTGGTGAATTAGCAGACTATCCCGAGAGACTGGAGAATTCGATGAAAGACAGATGCAAACTTGAAATTCAGCATAACTGCCCTTGGGAGGAAACATTTACATGTCGGTGTTCAACCGCTGAAACTTCAAACTATATACTGAAGCAAACTCGATGTCCATTGCACTACGTATCATCGTCGAACCTAGCATGGAAAACAAGAAGATGAACAAAAAGAAATAAATTCTTGACACAACACTCTGACACTATCACACGGGTGTCACTACAATTCATGAGAACCATTAATTGATCATGAATGATGCATGGGATAATTAGTCACTGCGTTGACTGACTCATGTACTTTTGGCAGTCAGTGGAATATTTCAATTCCACCGAGTGGGAAAAACCAGAATGGATGCATCTACCTTCCGTTTCGAATGAATTTTTTATCACTGGAACGCAATCTATAATAATAAACGTAATCTATACAGGTGCTCTATACACCTAGATGCTCCGATGTTTCTACCCTGTCGATAAAAACAGAAAGCGAGAAGAAAAATAATCAATTGAAGAACATTACGCAATGAACTATCTGCTTCAAAATCACGGTGCAAAATTTATCTGCAAAATTCCCGATGGCCTGCGAGAGTTATGCGCAGATATTTCCCGTGAGGTCAGTTTTTTATTTAACTCTTTCTTCATGACTTGCTCGAAATCCAATTGTGGTAGGTTCTTCGGAGCCAACCAGTCCACATCTACAGCTTCATCGCAGAATATGTTGAAGGATTGCGATTAACCCGAGAAACTGCTACAATTGCTGCCAAATTAGTTGACAGCATTATGGCAAAGAGCGAGGATATTGTTAATCTTCTTAATCGTTGTGGATTAGATTTGGAGCAGATTGCTGCTATCGCACCAAAGCTACAGGTTATTTCGCTGTTTAAAAATTTATTGGCGATATGTTTTAATTTTTCATGTATTTCAATAATTTGTGAGGAAATTTATTCTCCAAAATAATGTTTTGGCGTGGCGATAAATCGTGTAGATTTTTTTATTGGTCCCAGGGAGAGTTCAGAGATTACATCAATGCTACTGATTGCAGCTGCTCTATTAAGTCTGACGTCTGTGTTGATGCTGATTGTAATGAAGATAATGAGTTGACTATTAGGAGAATTGTGGAGGATGCAGGTGTGACTTTAGAAGTCGCAGAGAGAGCAGCTATAATAATTCAGGTTAAGCTGTTTTTCCCCTGAAGGTGTTCCGTAGAAAGCAAATGAATTAAGAATATTCAGACCTGAAGTATTTAAAAATTAGGAAAAGAAGAACAAACAAAGAAGTCAAATCTACAACTTTAATGAACTTTTTTAATGTTTTTTAATGATTTTATATTTGATTTCTACAAAATAATTCAAGAGCTGTGGAATATCACGCTGATTTTATCCAGTATGGAGAAACTAATGGCTTCTTTCATCCACAGAAAGCCTTTCTTCAACATTATAAACGAATAACTCAAAGCGAGCTCACTGGCGAGGCTTCGTGGAAGCTAGCAATAATGAGTACGATTGATATTTTGAGAAAAGTCGGTCTATCAGAACGAGAAGCGATGAAAACCGCCCAATCGATCGAGGTAAAATCTCCTTACTCTCCTTGAAATATATAATGAGAGATTAAGCCTAACATTGTGAACTTTCATCTATTGGCAGTCGAAGTATCAGGACTACTACACGAAAGGGAGTCGAATGAAGTCGTATGATGGTAGGGAGAAATGACAAGGGGCAAAAGAATTCTCTTTAAAGAGATTTATCGATGTGAAATTGAGGTTTTTCCCCTTCTTTTGATTTGCGAGGATATTAAAGTCGTACTTTTCATTTTCATTTGATTCAGCGGCTAAAAATGAGGGGAACGCCAAGGAGAATGAATTTTCACAGACCAATGAAAGTATTCAAGCTGTCGCTTTGTTGAATATGATGTACGACGACTCAGGGATTTCAGGGGAACAGGCCAATCGAGCTGCTACGATTATTCAAGTAACCAATGATATACTGAAATTTAAACACCTGTTCACCGAATATTCTTCTTGTCTTGAACTTTATGAAATTTATTTGAGAATTAAAAATAATTCATTACGCAATTTTTTTTTTATAAGGAAAATACAAGTCCAATGGAAATTGGATAATGGATCGTAATCGAAATATGTAATGAATTATTTAAGTTTAAGTTGTAAGCATAAATGTGATGAGTTAAAAAAATGCAATTAGCCACTTGTCTGAATGGTTTTAAAGCGGGCTTTCCGTAAGTATCGATCACGCAAGAATTCTAGCCTACATCCCTCGGTTTCAACGGGTACTCTGGCTGCCAGAGAAATTCTCGACAACTTGCATCAGAGAATCTTCGACAAAGTTCTATCAGGCGAGGCAATTCCCGACGAGTTTGGCACGATCCAGGAAATCGCTAAGGCAACTGAAAAACTTTCAAACGCCTACGAAGAACGCCTCGATGGCTCCAAATTGTCCCACGATAATGCAAGTAAGAGCAATACAACTTTTTTATCGATGAGAAAATATAAAGCACTCTCTTCCTGAATAAAATCCTGGAGTAATTAATGTTAATTAATTGCTTTCAGTGAGTAGTCAGGAGGAAACAGAAGGAGCTGATTTCAAAGAGGATAACGAGCATTTGCATCACTGAAGATTCGATGATCCAATTTGCACTGTTGAAGTCCAAGAAAAATAAAATCACATTTTGGTGAAATTAAATTATCTAGCGATCGATCTGTGAGATTGAAATTAACTGGACAACTGTTTTGTCCTGCATTAAAATGATATAAAAATAATTTGCTTATTTAATGTCAATAATTAATTGGACAGTGTTTCAGGATTGGGAAAACGATCGAAATTTGCTTTGTAATCGTCTCGTCTCGTCCTCTCAAATTTTGAAGGTTGAATTATATTTTATTATTGACTGATGGAATGTAAATAGAAATTGCAATAGACACAAAATGCGCATTCGAATAAACTTGGCCATTTCCAGTGATTTGAAATATTAGTATTATTTAAGCATTCATGTTGACTACATGCAAACCGTGCGTAACATTTCACATGAGTAATCCCAGCTATTCTTTATTTGACGATGAATTCCAGTCTCGAATGCGTATTTACACGAACAATTTGGGTATTTCGACGAATGTGATTTTACGTGACGTACCAATGAGTTGAATCCATTTTCAAAACGAATTTTTACCTTTGTGCAGTCAGGAGAACTCAGTGGGTTACAAATATCCCACGGACTACTGGATTTTGCAGCTGACATTGACAGAATAAAATGTTTCACCGGAATTAATATAAAAATTTATTTCAATGAAATGTTGGGCTGACAAGGCGAGCAATTAATGAGTGTCAGGTAGAGCTTGATTGATCCTTGTAATGTACAGTAGGTTTTGTGAGACGCGATCTCCTGGACTTGTGCTTCAATCGATCTGCTAACTTGTTGAAACGTAACTCCTTAGTGGAGTTTTTCCGAGTACAACAGGTCTCGGTGTCGACATTATCCTCACAACTCTTGGCCTCTCTTGTTGTCTCATTCGACACGAGATCCTGCATTCCACTGCATGATGTCGTTTCACTTATCCCACAGCAAAACTCCCCAACTTCGTCAATTTGCTCCTCTTGAATTCTCTTTGACTTGAACTTCTCCACGAGAATGTCCACCGAGTCTCTGTGCTTTATCTGGAGAAAATTTTTCACTGAATCCTCGTCGTCAGTATAGCTCTCCTCTGGGAGTGAACGCATCCCTGAACTGGAGTTTTCAATTCACCATTAATTATTTAGCATTGAAAAGCCTGTAACGAATAGATGAGCGATTTTTTTATTATCTACCTGTGTGGATTATTGAACCTCAGGTGCATTTTTTGGTTGCAATAATCCTTTGCTTGTCTCTCAATCTCGCATTTCCGCTCGTGAAGAAATTTTGGACAGAGCAATCTGGCAGGCATGCTGGACCAGTTTGCGCACAAAATACTGTTGATCGGTTTGGCGGATATTTTGGTGCAGTGGTGCATCTGGCAGCAATGAAAATGACCAAACAAACTTTGATATCTCGGCTCGTGTTTCATTCGGTTATTCCTCTGGTACAATCGCTGCATCTTCATCAGAGATTCTTCCCGACTTCGACGCTCCCACTCGTAAAGTTTCTGGGGAAAATCCAGCGATTCATCATCATTCCCGCTGTCATCTGCAAATTAATGGATATTTCATTTTTTGGAAATATTTCTCGGTCAGTACTTTCCGGATGAACTCCAATCGTGGGAAATCCAGTCTTCTGAAAGTGATTGATCGAATCGCCATCGTCCAATTTTTGGTGGCAGCAGACGCAATTTTTTTTCAAACTCGACCTAAGCTCGTTTGTCTCACTCGAAACATCCAATCTGCAAATGCAAAATTTTATTCTCTATTTTGTTACTATTTTTTAACTTGATCGGCAAAATGTCATTACTTCTCCTCCGCATCTTTGTATTTGTCCGGCTCGTTTTGTCCTGAAGCATCCGAATATTTATCTCTTGATACAGTTTTAACAAAATCTCTGACAGAATCGCGAGTCCTTTTTTCCTGGTGAAATGGATTCTCAAACGACTCAGAATTTCGCCCGCAGCAAAATCCACTGGCGATTCTCAGTCTCGTTGAATTCTCAGTCTTGTTACACGCTTGAATGCGCTTCAATCCAAAATGAAAATCACAATTCCACCCAATTACCCCAGTACTGACTACTTTCCATCTTCACTCGTATCATTTACCTCAGAATTTTTGTACACCGGTTCACTGGGATTTTCCGAAAATTTTCTTCGCGCTCGGTGAAATGCTATTGCTGCAGCTGCAAGCTGTTGAGATGTCGTCGGACAAATTTCTGACATTTTCCCATTGAAAAATTGCCGTTCCCGGAGGTTATAAATATAAATATGCCATTATCAACACATGTTCTTTCAATTGAAATTTTCTTGTTTCTTGCGAGTTCGATTTAAAAAAAAACACGCCAATTTTTCCTCCGAGTAAATTACTATAATTACCCGGGAAATTTTCAGTGTAATTTTCCATCGATATTTCGAATATACCGATGCACTCCCAATGAAAATTTCATTTTAAAATAATTTTTTCAACATTTACTCAATTTCCGCTAGTTAATCACCACCAGGAGCTCGTCGTTAACCGAATCATCCCCCGATTATCCCCCTGACAACACTCGCCTAATTACATGAACACTCGATATGACCTGAAGAAATTACCCTTTAATTTTTCGCCAAGTCGTATCAACAGCTCTGTATAAACATGAACTGGCGAGTAGTGAGATACTGGAAAGAAAATTTTTGCAGTATCTATTCATCTCCAACGCAAATACCCGGACTCAAACGAGCTTTTGGTTGACAACATTGGCCCCTAATGAGCGTAAAATCACTGTGAATAGACCATAAAATCTCGATTACTCGAAGGAAAAAGAAAAAAAAAACGAAGAGTGGGAGAGAAAAAATCGACGTTAATGCAACCAACGGTAGCCAGATTTATGGTCGCAACCAGGTGTACTATTTACCTTAGTGCGGTTAAATATTCGCCGTTCGCTGGGAATACGATCTCGTTAGCACCTTGGAGAAGTGCCCTCTTAACTGTACCAATTAAGCTTTTCCTCTGATATCCCCACTGTAAGTAGACGCAATTATAACGATACATAAACTGCAGAACCGAATCTTCCAATCCGTTAAAACTTAATTCGTTTAACGAGTCACTTACTTTCGACTTGACGAATAAATTCATTTTCTTTCTCAATCATTGAGGACTTTCAAGTACTCGTTTTCAGTACCAGAAATCCATTTCAGGGAAAGCTCAATCAAGCTTTGAATTCCCCAAATAATTATCTCTTTGATCGAAAAATTTGGGTAATTATTCCTCTAAATTCTGAAACCAATTAAAAATAAAAATGAATCTTTCTGGGTGGATTTGGATTCCAGGATGTTCGCGATTGTCCAGACAATTGTCCAGGCCGTCTGCCTCCTGGTGTTGGTATCACCTGTTCACAATGAACAGTGCGATCTTCCGGAATGCTATGCAGAGGGTAAGCAATAATAAATGAGGAAAATCAGTTGTAGACTGGAGAATCAACTAAAGGTACTTGCTTACTTGTTAGCAAAGCGACTGATGGAATCGATTAATGACCGAGTTGATGCCTGTGAAGACTTTGTGGAGTTTGCATGCGGTAAACAGTTTCCGTTATTCGATAGATTGAGTGAGTCCAATAGAATGGGTGTTGTTGCACCAACTATTTATCACCTTCGCCTTTGGGGTATCAGGAAGATATTACGGGCTGTTTTGGATGAACCCCTTGATAACGCTGATCACAGGGCCATTAAACTCGCTAAGATCTATTGGAAAAAGTGTAAAATCGGTGAGTGTCTCTCATTTTTTCACAGGAAAATTCTCCACTGAAAGAAAAATCATCGTTCTTGTAGGAAAATCGGTTATATAATTGAGAAAAATCGTTAATTAATTATAATGAATAATCAGTACTCTTTTAATCAGACAATGGTTGATTAGAGAGATAGAGTCGCAACGAACGCTTAAGTTTACAAATTAACGATATCGGATGTAAACGAATGGTCGTAAATATTCGGTTCAAGTTGGTGTTTTGAAATATCTCGAGAATATAATTCTTGTTCAGGGAAGGGTGGATTTAAAAAACGATCAACATTGAATATTCAACTACACATGGAACTCTCGGTTGCAATCAATATTCACGGGAAAATTCGACTGTCAAGTGATCTGAAAAACTCATATCAATTCAACAAATACCACTGTGTGTTCTCGTTGTAAACAATTGATGAATGTGCAAATCCCGGTGGAAAGCCTCGAATTCGGTTTAAATTTTAACAGAAATTATTGTGTCGAGGCATTAATTGTCCCTCAAATATTCACATGTAAATGATGACACACCCATCACTGGGATTATTGTGAAAATGAATAAGTATTGGTGGATTTTTTAACAGTGACTTGTCACGAATTTGAGAGGCGGTATAGAATATTTTTTGTCGGTGGATTATTGGATCAATATGCAGATTTTTCATTCCAGTGAATTCAAAAGATGCTTTGGAGGGTGTGCGTTCACTATTCAAACAACTGGGTGGATGGCCAGCGATAACCGATGCCTGGAACGACAGCCACTTCAGTTGGATGGAATTCAGTAAATGGTCACGACGTCTAGGATTTTTGCCAGCCATGTTCATTCACGTTGGAGTCAACGTCGATGACGTTCACCAGCCGTGGAATCCAAACGACACAATAAAACTTACGGTTGTTAAAAGTTTTCTCTCATCGTACAGTTGATGCTTTATTGAATTAAGAACTGCTCTGACCTCGATTGTTATTGCATGAACAGATACAGAGACCGGTTCATACCAGTCGTTTGGTAGACGATAATCTTGGATATTTGAGGATTGCTAAATTTCTTACTCAGTCGAGAATCCCAGAGGCCAAAGAGATTGATGATGCTTTCCAATTTGGAAGAGAATTTCATATGGTACATTTTTTTTCAATTAATTAATCGCAATGAACGTAAAATCGAGTTAAAAGATTTTTCAGCTCGAGTGCGGTGGCCATGGAGCAGTTCACATGACGGAAATGTCGATTAAGATATTGCAGGAGTTGTATCCAATCGTCGATTGGATGAAGTATTTAACAGCAATATTGACAACTAATCAGAGAAAGAATCTGGCATCGGCTGATTTGATTATCGCTGACACCTGTTTCCTGACGTCATTCAATGATCTATTTAAAAGAACCAGCAAAAGGTGTACTACCTTGATTGGATTTTAGTGGGGGTTTTAATTGCGTCGCTTTGAAGGGTGCAATTCATATTCAATGGAACATTTTTAGGGTGCAAGCGAATTATGCTTTTTTAACACTGATCGATGACATGTTTCGCCTCGTCAGACCAGAATTGGCACTGGCATTCGCTGAAAATCAGCGGGAACGTGAAGATATTTGTTTCGACTCCACAGCCACTATGTGAGTTTTCTATGAGAGAGAGTCCTCTACTATTTAAATATTTTTTCTTCAAATCGTTTTTAGTTTTGCAAAGGCACTGGATATTGCAATAGTAGAGAAGATACCACCGGGTATGAAGGCAAAAATATCTGATATGAAGCATCGAATTCGAGGTAAAACACTCACATCCATTCTGGCAATTCCGTGGATGGATTACGAAACCAAGTGAGTGCTTTCGGAGATAATTCCAGTACTTTATATCATACTCATTTAACAATTGTTAAATATTTTAGGATGCCTATAGTTAACCAAATGGATGGCTCACCCTTCGTAATTCTTGCTCCAGACGGCATCCTCGATGATAAATACTTCAACAGGGTAATCCCGTGTAACGAATTCAAAATGCACCCTAATGCAATATTTATGTTAAAAAATACCGCAACCTCTTGGTTTGTTTTACATTTACTTTTTACAGTTGGAATTGCTCCAAACGGACGCAATTCAGACGTACTTTATTCAGATCAATGGTTTTCTCGTTGATCATTATTATCTACAGGCTGGACGGCCGCGGAATGAATATGAAATTCATGGACGCAATGGAGAGAGCATAAGTTTCTTGGATATATTTTCACCGAATGATCTTCTTATCAAACCTGATAGCTTGGGGAAACAAATCTGTTAGTCTATTATTAATTTTTATGCGCAAAATAGTCCCTAGAAATTTCACAAGATTCACACATGAGAAGAAATTAATTTACAGATGTTCCAGCGGCGTCGATATTGACCCGAAAAATTCTATTATCGAAAGAACTGGAGTTTCTCAATTACGCAACAGTGGGACGAGAAATAGCAACAGCTCTGGGTATCAGCATTTATAAAAAGAACTGGTTTTCAAGTATTGACTCAATGAAGAACCCTTTGCCGTCAAAATCAATGCTGAATCACTTCACAAGTCTTGAATCGTGTTACACGATGGCATTCACACAGGTAAGGCAAATAGCGTATACCTGACGTTCCCCTGTGTCCGAGAGGAATAATCCCGGAAATCCCATTATCCACCCCAGGGTGAATGGGACTCAAGAGCGTCTGGGTGCGTTAATTATTGGAATCGGGCATTGATTGCACACCCAGAACGACTAAGCATCCTCCAAACTAATATTGATATTGACGTTTGAATTTCGGTATGTTGCTGTAGTGTTCCATTCATCTCAATTATTTGATTGACAGGCTGGACTTGAAATGCATTCAGCTGTTCTCATGTTTTCCCTCATCGGTGCTGCAGAGCTCACATACAAAATAATATTTGATGATTGCCAATTCGATGACTGTGGAGTAACACTTCCAAGTGAGTTTTTTTTTTAACGCCAGTACTGTAGGTTTATGATTTTGTTGTAGCAATAATATTTCTGGTTTTTAAAACATTAGATAAGCTTCAAAATATTATTGCGCGAACACCCCTCGGATAATCAATCGAAACATTTCTTTTTCATTGATTCAGATTTCAATTACACGCCTCAACAAATATTTTGGATGCACGCAATCACCTCTGACTGCGACCGTGATCTGAAATACAGATACAACACAATGTTATCGAATAATGAGGCATTCGTCAGGGACTTTAATTGTCAGTTTGGATCCAAAATGAATAGCCGCAACAAGTGTAAAATCTTCACTTGAATAATACTCACGGAAAAGTTGAAAAAATCTATGAAAAAAATGGTATTCATTACTTAGTATGAAATATTTTACCTTGTTCCCTTTAAATTGCAACGTTAATGGAACACCAGGAATTTGAATAAAGGGTTTAATTACACAATCTTCTTATGAGTAACAACAATTTTATTTTCATACTGTACACAATAAATCCTGTACCTCTACTTATGCAAACTTACAATTGTATTGTATTAAGAGTTCCAGGACGTTATTTAAGTCGATTCGTTGATAACATCAATTAAAGCAGCCTCTCGCGAAATTTTGTCTTTTCTCCGACGAGAAACATTTGTCTGCAGTCATGTGATTATTGTTTTATAACAACGTGTTTATCGAGACCGTAACACCCTCTCCATATGGTACAGTATACAATTTAAAAAATGTATAATTCAATGGAGAGAGATTATTGAACGAAATAAAATACTGAATATTGATGAGCGATTCACGATGAATTCAGTGATTATGAGTTCATCCATGGTGGGCACGAGACAGGCGGCTGATAACCCTGTGAAACAGGAACTTGATATTGTTGCGGGTACTGGGGTCTTTGTTGGTGATGATGTGGGGGTGGTGGAGGCGGTGGTGGTGGTGGGTTGCATATTGAATGCATCAATGGAAGTGAATTGTAAGGCGGTGGCTTTCCGGCGTATGGGGGAATTTGATTGTACTCGATATTGACATGGTGCTCCATCGTTGATTGAATCGACGGTCGATTCTGATCGCCATCTGATTGACCTGCAATAGTATTTTTAATTGACTCCATATTTTTACATTCAAATGGGCGAAAAGTATTACACTCATTAAATTAACTAAAAGAAATAAAGACCACTCATTAATATTTTTTTATTCCATTACCTCGTGATGGCCTGATTTGTGGTGGTGGCATATTTGTCGGCGGTGGTGGAGGCGGTGGCCGAATCCAGGACATTCGCCCATCGTGACCCTGCCAAGGGGCTGGATGGGGTGGCCCTTGTCCTGGGGGCGCTAATTGATCGCATTCTCCGTCGAAATTTGAATCATTGCCTGAATAAAATAGTTTTCATCGTAATTACAAATTATTCAACAACGAAGCAGTAAAGGATAACAAAGTTCACTTGTTCTCTAGATCTACCAGAGATAATAAAATATTCCTCACGATAATTTCGGTAAAAGTGAATGCCATCTATAAAAATGATAGTAACAAAAATATTGCTATCTCTGGAAGATTCAGAAATATTTTTCGCCAACTTAGCCATTAGCTAAATTACCTTGCCAACCTTTTCCGCCTCCTAACAAAATTGCAGAAACTATTCAACTGAATATTTTTTTTATTGAATTTATTCACGTACCATGCATAACTCCACTGGGCTTCTGCTCCATATTAAGTTTCTCACCTGCATGACGAATGCACAATAGATTAATAAAACCAATTCAGGGTTTTCAGCTTGAGTTTTCTAATTATAGAGTACATTCTACAAGATATGATAAAAAAAAAAAAATTCAGAAGAAAACAGGAAAACTGAGTAGCACCGTCTAGCTGGAATTTAATAACCCAGAACAAAGAGAAATTAATTAATTTAGCATTTCTGCAGAGCCTCGGACTGTTCTGATTTCATCTGAAATAAGATTACGTTCTTTTTCGTTCATGAGGTAAAGTTTCTGGGGAGCGAGGGAAGAGGGAATAACACCAGAAGCATGTAAAAGTGCAACTCCACACCGAACCTGAAACTATCCACAAAGTAATTACGTAATATTATACAAATGGGGTAACAATAGCTGCTGCGAGTTGAAAGCACCACTCTTTCCCCTCATACTCTGAATCCACATCAGAATCTGTAATAATTCACAATCCCATGCACAAAAACATATCAAAGTATTAGCTTAATTGAAATTGTCGTCAGCATTCTGGCAAAAGTCTAAACTAACGAGAATAACATTAGCCATAATATTCCTTAGATTACCGTCTAAGAGTATCGGGAAATAATGGCAGATATTCAATATCTTCAACGTCACTGGAATTTTCATCTAAACGATTTCACTGGTTTTCTATCGTTGAAGTTTTCGATCAAAGATTATGAATTTTACTGTAAATGGAATGTAAATATCAATTCCACTATTCTTGGTAAATTATTTGATTAATTCTTGAATGGTAGTTCAATTGACGATTGCACTGACATAAAACAATAGAATTGAATTATTAATTCATTAGCAACAGTAATTATCTTCTATACTATCTCTTTGTATCTCTAATAATTCCATGAAGGCCCCTCATCCAATGACGCTGAGGATAATTCTGACGAAATAACTGAAAACCACGAATACCTCCCATTTTTCCAAACTCAAATACTCTTAGCTACAGACCTGGATGTGGAGGTGGCATAGGCGGCTTATTTCTTTCGCCATAGGGTGGACCAACACCTCCCGGTGGTGGACCATGTCCGTGTGGCAGCAGCCTTTCACCATCACTGCTTAAACAATTCAGTCAAATTGATTATTTAATAAAAAAAAAAAAAATAGAAAACAAAATTTAACAGAAAATGCACTGATAGAAAAATCATCGTAATATCACAAAATAAATTTCTTACAATAGTAATCCTGAATAATCTATCAGATCATCTCAGATTTTATTTTCATTTTTATTGTCAAGTGAGGATTTTCCGCAAGAAATTGTGATACCACGTCAATTATTTTATCAGTCTCGTGTGAATTCGATGTAAATACGACGATAAAACGTTAAATTTAATCATTTCGGTTGTGTCAGTGATCCCTGGATTCTGAAATGTCAAACCATGTGTGTATCTACCACAACCTGCATTGCAGAACGATAAACATTAATAATGCCGATCTCCTGATCTTTCCTCTAACATATGAGTTATGTATCGTTTATCTCCATTATAATGTCATATTCCCGGAACTTTCTCCACATGAACCTATTTTATTTACTATTCATTTAATGTACTTAATGGATTAATTTTTGTGATGCAATTGATGGATGTCAGATTGTTATTACAACCTCATCCATTTCTATTACTTGATAAATGATAAATAAAGCACATTGATGTGTCACCGAGTGAGCCCTTGTCCTATACAATTCATCAGGATAATTAAGAAATTTTCATAATTAATTCGGTACTGTATTATGTTCCCAGGGCTATTATTTATACACAACTCGATGAGACATTCGTACGAATAATTTCAATAGTTTCTGCAATAAATCAGTATCAATTACACTGGAATAACACATGATTCTTATCTCCACCGTGTGCCAATGTAAATAAATAAAAGGAATAGTACTTTATCTGTAAATGAAAATCAAAGAAAATTCTGCCACGTTGGTATCAACATAAAAATTCGAGTGGTAAATCAACGTTCAAATAAAATGGAAAAACGTCAAGGTAATTTTGTTCCTGCCAACTGCTCATTTAGTCCCGCTCTATTTCCATTACATTCCAGTTTCATTCTCTAAAGATAGCAAAATTATAATTCTTATTTTCATAATTAAACTGTAGGATAATTAATCCTCGCCCATAGCAGCTTCTTCCTTACATTACTCTCCTCCACGAGTGTTTTCTTCGTTAATTAGGCGCTCTGTATTTTAATTTTACGGTCATCAATTACGTAATGAATTTTGTTTTTTTTTTATCTTTTTTCGGTTGTATCGTGAAATTAATTCGAGACTCACCCATTTCCGTGCCGATGAATTGGTAGTGGAGCGTTGTGATACGGTGGAGGCTCCTGAAAAATTCAGGAGAAAAAATTAACATCTCTGTGATGAGATCCAATTGCATTACTCTGTTGATCTGAAATTAATGAATACCTGGGGACCCTCAACGTCGTTGAATCTCCTCTTAACACCGTGACCTTTTTGCTGCTCTGGAGAGTCTGGATTATGCATTTCGAATGGCTGTTGAGGTGGCTGGACCGTATAATGGAGTTGCTCAGGCATTTGTCCATTCTGATACTGCAATTGTTGGGTGTAATGTATTTGGCCCGGTGGGATATTGTGAAGACCCTGCGATGGTGGCATTTGCACCTGAAAATTAATTAATTCCAGTTAAGACATTGAAATGGAATAAGATGGAGGCAATTGGGCTTTAAAAAATCTTTAGTACAAAAATTTAGTAAATTTGGTCGCAACACAAATTTGACCACAATTGCTCGTCTACTCAAAGAAGGAAATGAATGCCTCCTTTCCCCCCAGCAATGCTAAATATTTATCTTCAATTACCTGTATTTGGCCCGGAGGTGGTTGCTGTCCAGTATACAACCAAGGTGCAGTCTGGCTGGTCCCCTGTTGATTAGGTGGTGGTACACTCGTTAAAACGTTCATAGAACCCGCCAATTGATTGGGAGGTGGAACCATTTGAGGTGGTGGAACAGGTTGTGGTCCTTGTTCGAGTCCACCTTCGTGATGATGTGGTCCCTCGTGAATTGGTAAAGGTGCACCAGTCGGCAGATGATGAGGTGATTGTGAGTTTGGCACAAGAAACGTTTGTGTTGTTGGTGGTGGCATTTGCATTGGATACTGACCAGTACGCTCCTCAAACTGTGACTGCAGTAGATGTTGATCGGGATTTTGCTGTACTGGTGGTACTATTTGCTCAGGCTGGAGGACAAACTGTTGACCACTCGTTTGCACTTGCTGATACTGTATCTGATATGTCTGCGGAATGGGTGGAGGCGGTTGATTAGGAGGAAAATTAGGCGGTGGAAAGTGGAGATGAAGGAGAGGTGGGGGTGGCTGATGAGTTATGTTAAGAGGGGTTGAGGGAGGTGGCTGCTGTAGATTGACGTTTACAGTTTCAATTGCCGTTTGACAGGGGGTCGATGGTCTTGGCATGTTCGGCTGGGTGTACACATATGATACAGCACCACTCACTGAACCACTGCTGCTTGATATGAAACCAGAGTGACCTGGACTCCCCGGTGGAGGCTGACTCATAACGTACATTTGTGCTACTGGTTGAGAGGAAGAATGCGATGATGGTGGCACCTGAATGTGCAGGGGCTGACCAGAATGAATTTGGTACTGAACCTGGCTCACTGTTGGTGGTGGAGCGATAAGCTGTACTTGACCCACTGACGGCGGTGGAATGAGCGTCTGGAGGTCCTGGGTCTGACTGGGTGGTACCAAAGGTCCTGCATGCGCTGGAATATGAACCCCAGGTGGTGGAACTCCAGCCCCAGGAGCTCCAGACATTGTCGCCGTGAGTATAGTAGCTGGTAACGTAACAACACTGCTCTGAGGATGCTGAATGATATCCTGATGCTGAATGGTAACGACATTTGACTGTCCCAGAGCTCCAATATTCATAGTCTGAAAGTGTGCCTGCTGTATCTGCTGGAGCTGTGAGGTTTCAATGATCTGTTGTGACTGTACAGGCGGTGGTTGTTGCTGAATGTACGCCTGGAGCTCTGATTGCATCGTCTGAATCAAATTAATAGCGAGTTGTTTGGCATTCTGCAGTGCCTCAGGCTTCGAGTGCTCTATGTACAGGTGAAGGGGCTCAGGAGATTCACTACCTAGCACTGGATCCACGAACTGCGAGCCTCTCCCTCTTAACGAGACATTAGCACCGGTCTCTCCTCTTATGTACAACAGATTAGCGCCTCCAGCCCCAACCATTCGACCCCTCAAATCAAAGCCTTGAGGTGCATTTTCAATCCCCACACAGATCTTCTCCACTGACGGTGTACCAGAGTGCAGACTCATCAGAGGTGGTGGTGCATTTGTGAATCTACTCGGACGGCTCAATGAACTCTGGTGCTCGGTTTTTATTATTTCGTGAATTTTTTGAATCGCTAGATCGATATTGTGCTTGCTGTGACCCTGGATGTAGAGGTACAGGGGCCGCTCCGTTGGACAACGCGACTTGTCTGATTCCGTCATAAATCTACCTCGAGTGGATACTGTTGCACCTGAGAATATTTTTTTTACAATCATTCCACTGGAAAATTCATTGATTTGTTAAGAGGTAAGCGGTCAATTCACATATAATCTCGTCAAATAATTCCTTCTCCAATCAATAATTCAAATCAATAAATTTTCACACACCTGAAAAATTATTAATTTCATCTTGGATGTAGCCTTTTGTGAGAAGTGTCCTGGCGCTCGGTGGCGTCTCATTGATCTCAAACTCAGTGGTAAAAATCTCCGAGTTCTTGAATGACCCATTTGTAGACAGAAGTGCCTGCACAATCAATATTTCAAGCAATTAAAAAATTCCACATTACGTCACCAAACAAAAATAATCATACCTTGTTGTTCCCGTTGGAACCGCGATACTTTCCCTTAGCCATGAGTATTGAAGTAATTGACCCAGTAACATGTGTCACGGTTTTCATAAACACCGTGTCATTCCATGAGCATCACAACTGTTCAGGGCAATACAGAATAATAAAATTTAATGTCTGGAGACATTTCAAACGAACCGTGGGAGGTTAGACGACTAATACCATTTAGAGGAAACATCATCACACTTATCTTCATAATTACATGGCCAAAAATCGCTCTCCTAAACAGTCACTCTTAAATGAAACCACCGACTGATTATTTTCTTTTTTTTCGCTTTTGATATTAATTTTTTAATGAAAAATAAGTAACAGGTGTAATATTATGCCAGCAACTTACAGAATTGTTTACGTGGGGTATCTCCTCATGCCGACGAATCCCTCGATTTTTCGTAAAATTCAATCACTGACCGAATACCTATCGTACACATTATCTGCACGTTATTTATTAAACACTGGACTGATTACAATACTGTCATCATTGATTGCATCTGCGCGTTAACCTTCTATCTCAGGTAATTAATGGTCATTTCATTTCAACAGAGGATAGCTCAACAGAACACCAAAAATATTAATCGATTGGAACTAACAATGGCTGACGATTCAAAAAATATCGTGAGACATCGAGTTGGAGAGAGATGGGACGTAAATTTATTCGTAATTAGCCCTCTGACGGGGAGAAATTGTAGCCTTGAGAATGTCTAAAATTCATTTTCTATCAAACTGTTGCAAACGATTGACGATAGATTGAGTAATAAATTATCGGTGGATCGGAGATATTCGTAATATACTCAGAGGTCGAGGAGTTTACCAATAATTTGGCCAATGGAATAATATTAGGTTATGCAATTATTTACTTAACCTCCACATACCTAACTTCTCAGTGTTCTAAAAGGCATCTGATAAACGCCGCAAAGCGCCTCCTAACGGGAGCAAAAAATAAGTTAAGTATTGTCTGATGTCGCTAGTGTCCTGTCACTGCTAAAATAACAGTTGGCAGTATGGCATTTTGGTATTTCTAGGTAGGAGGATGAATTCTGGGTAAAATAACTTGTGCAACGCATCAAAATATCCTCACCGAGAGTAATAAACTGGTAAAATCGTTGACGATAATTTCATCATTTAACGATGAAATAGCACCGAGTGATCGGCTATTCCAGATAATTATTCAAAAATCCATCACGCGATATTTGCCCTCTACATCAGCCCATTTGATCGCCTCTGATTAGATACGGTAAGCCGACATAAAATATTGCTCCACACTTGGCAGTTCCATCTGCCAGTTTCGATGGCATGAATCAGCGAGTCACGTTTATCTCGAGTTATTTGAGAGTTATTGCAAAGAGGTTAGACCTCTCCTCGGTAATTCTCCTGATTTTTCTAGAGGAATTATTGGCGTGATTTTTTACTGAGACGGGTCCACGATGATCGATCTCACAGTGAAGACCTTGGATTCCCAGAATCACACCTTCTCGTTAAATGACGACGTGAGTGATTCGATTCACATTATCTTTTCTTGTACCCAGACCATTCTAAAATACGTGGAAAATTATTCCACTGACGCAGAACTTTCCTACACCAGACCAAACACGTGAATTTAATTGTACAGTTTAACTTTGACATTCACTTTTATTATTTTTATATTCAGATCACAGTCAGACAATTTAAGGAACATATTGCCGAGACTGTGAGCATTCCAGCTGATCTTCAAAGATTGATCTATTGTGGACGAGTGCTGCAAGACGAAAAAAATCTCAATGAATACGGTAATTATTCGGGCGTTCTTTTCCCTCTTTGTTTCAAAGAAGAAAAAGAATTTGGGGGCTCACTTGTTTTCATGATACGCCAAAGTAACTTCATTACTCTTTGCTTGCAGACGTGAATGGTAAAGTGATTCACCTAGTTCAACGTGCGCCCCCTTCACTTCACCAGAGATCTAGCGATGCTAATCAATCCGGTAACCAGGGTACCCAGGGTGGAAGCTGGCAGTCAGGTCCCAGAATCCAATACCGCCCGGGTCGAGGTAATCCTATGTACGTTGGCTCAGTGTCAATTCCAGCTGATGTCCTTGACCGTCACGACGCCGAATGGCCGACACCTCAATTCAGTGGACTCCTAGCAAACAGCCACTTGACAGTAGTTCATCGAATGCTGGATCAGGCGAATCGAGTAATCGATCGCTTAGAGAACACCGAGACCCCCGAGTCCACACCCCAAACGTCAGCCCCAACACCTGGATCCAGTGAAGCACCAGCTCCAGCCGAACAGCCCTCACAGACAGATGAGATTCCTGCGACTGGATCAGCCCCAGAACCCGACACAAATGATATCCTCGTGCCTCGTCCACTGGCAGAGCTCCTGGAGAAGCTGCTGACAACTCAGGATCGTCTCAGGCCCTACATTAGGGATCGTCTGCTCTCCACAACGTCATCAAGCCCTGATGAGAGTCAACGAATAATCGAAAGTGTCTCAGAATGCTTGCACTTTCTCTCGCATGCCCAACATGCCCTCAGCAACATCAGCATCGATATGCAGCAGACTCCACCGAGGACTCTTCGTTGTCGTCCCATGAATATCAGACCACCAGCAGTGGTCCAGGCAGGTCTTCCAATTCAGGTTGAGGCGCACATTGAGGTCGGCCAGAGTGATAATAACAACACGGATGAAACAAACCAGACACCCCAAACAACACCTGCCAGCAATGATGCGACTAGCTCTCAAAATCCACCATCAACAACACCACGTCAAGAACGTTCAGGTCAATCAGACTCACCATTCGGTCAGGTATTTAATTTTCCAAATAACGTAGAAGTTGTGATGGAGATGGGAACACAGGCACCCGGAGTCTGGAGTCTCGAGTATTCAACTGGTCCCCAACCACTGGGCACCATGAACAACAATAATAACACAAATAACAACAACACAAATACGAATAACAATAATACAACGAATGGAGCAGGAACAAGTGGATTAACCAGGGGAGCAGCTCTGTCCCCTGATCTACTAAGAAATCTGATGCAGGCAGTGGCTGGATATATCTTTCATACAGGTGGGCCACTGCTAGGTACAGCATCAGTTCCAACAACTGCTTCTACCACACCTCCATCAGCAACTAGTGGCTGCATTCATCATCGAGGAAGGAATGCAGGGGAATCAGCGAGCTCTCAGCCCAGGGGTAACACTGACACTCATCCGACAACATCGACTCAGACTAGAACTACATCGAGGACGCATGTTCTGCAGCATGCACAGGCTCTTGGTGTTGGTCTCGATGTTGCCGATAGCATTGACTTCGATCCTTTTTTGCCCTGCACCTCTCAGCACGTGAGACGTCAGCCTGCACAGACCAGTACAGCAGCATCAACACAGACTGGACAGGGGGTAGCTGGTGGTGAGGGACAGCGCACGCTTGGCAATCGTGAGCCAAGATTCGCCACTTTTACTGGAGTACAGATTGTCAACAGGAGAAGCAATCGATTATCATTGGCTGAGTTTCTCGCTAATGCTGAAAGAATTGGTCCTCCCAGTCGACCACTTTCGTTTAATACTTTGTTGTTGAATAGGGGAATTAATTTGCTTGATTATCTGAACCGCCCAACTATTCTGCAGAGAGTCTATTTGGTACTGTCGAAATTATCGCTTGGGGACTGGAGGAAAATTCTGGGTGGGGATTACAGTCCTATCACTCCTCAAGTGCAGGAGGCACTCAGAACCAATATTAGAGAGATTGCGATGGTTGAGGATGAGGAATTACCCAATCGAATTGCTCGAAGAGTCGTGCTTGATTTGAGAATAGATATTAGATGCACATTTTTTGTCGAAAATCTCAGGGAACACGCTGATGTCAATATGCTCAATACTATTGATCGAGTGCTGAGTCGATATATTGAAGAGATTCTTCGATGCTTGTTCACTAGTTATGAGACAAATACAGCATTTGCGGAGGCTGTTGTAAATCAAATAAAATTACTAGCTGCTGATTTGATTGGAATATGTCGACTGATTTTGATAGGCGGACAGAACGGATTTGAAAGAGTCGTAGCTCGATTTGCTAGACGAATGACATGTGATAGCGACGCTTTGTGGCGCGATTGGATTCTTGGACCAGTTGTGGAATGGATATGCAATTATTCTCGAGGAGTGGTGTCCCCACCAAAAGAAGAGATAATGAAGATGATCTGCTACAAGGATTCCACAAATACCACAACATCCCAGTCAGAGCCAACAGCAACAGAAACAGCATCAAGCCCATCAGCAACTCCACCAGCTCAATCACCAGTTGAGTCAGTGCCAGAGCCAATGGAAACAGAGACAGCACCAGATCCACTGATGCCGGACGAAAACGAGGAAGTATCGACGACATTCCCAGGTCATGAGAGTCTTCTGCCTGATTGGGTGCCCATAATAGCACGTGATGGGGCAAGACAGAGGAGGCAATTGCAATTGGGCCTGTCTGGTGGCAGTGTTACTAGTCTGAGCGATGCTTATCTGGCTACAATGCCCAGTAAACGGAGGAAATTGGTGGAGCAACAGAAGCCAACACTCTTGGCAAGTCCAACATCAAATAGTTCTGCTATACCAGCGTCCATGGAACGATTGATTAGAGAGAGCGTTGGACGTGCTGGTGTGGAGGAAATTGATGGAGCGGCTGCTGCTGTTGCTTCTGATACAACTGCCAGACGTGCATTCGGAGAGGCAATCAGGGAATGCCTTCATCCACACCGATATCAGAGCCCTGATTTTCCAGATCCCCTCAGATTTCCAAATGCTACCAAGTTCTTCAGCGATCATGATAGGCATGATAAATAATAAGACATTCTCATATTTAATATTCTTGTAATGAAATACTTTTATTATGTCAAAATTCATAATTTAATAACTATTCTTTCTGGCACACTTATTGTATTTCCAAGACGTTCAATATCCAACGCAGTTAAGCGTGTGAATTAAATTAATGTAATGGTGACTTTTTGGAATTCTTTTATTTCAATACCTTAGACTTTTTTTCTTTTCATTTTTGGGGGAGGAATGTTTTTCCAGTATTTAAATTGCCTTACCAGATCTATAACATCAGAATTTTTAATAATAATATTATTGCGAATATCGAAGGCCAGTTGCCATGAATAAAAATAAATGATTGAATTTTTTCAAGCTATGCTGTTAATAAAAGGGACCTCACAATTTCAAGCTATCGTTCGATATTCGAACTATAGGAAAAATCGGGTGAAAAAGCCTCTCGCCGGTTTCTCGACGAAAAACGAGCAGTAGAGGGTGGATAGGCGAATAATTTGTGGAAGCGAAATGCGGTCAGGGTGAGAGGGAACAAATGGAAGGGGAAAAAAAAAGCTGAAAATAATATTTCCATTACGGGAGTTAACTCCGATAGGCCATCGTTCATAGGCACCAGCGATTCCCTCCACACTTCCACACTTCACCATTTTTCTAATCTCCATCTTCATTATCCCCCTCATTCCTCGATTTACCTAAAAATATGATAAATCCTGGTAATCGGACTTGACACGCGTCAAAATCGTTCAGCATATGCCCAAAAAATATTTATCTGAATCAAATTACCAATTGATTCCAATTCAATAAATTATTCTCATTAAACAAAAATTTGAATCGACAAACAAATTTGTTCACTAGTATAAATAAATAATAATTATTAAATTCAGTACACAAATTTATTAATTCGGAATAATTGTTGTTCTGAAACGAAAAAAAAAATGGCATTACAAAGCATTTTGTCTACATTTTATTCAGGATGATGAGAGAAAATGTTAAATGTGTATTTTTTTATGCTCTGTCCATTGGAAACACCGGGGCGTTTCCAATAAATTCAGATAATTGCATAGGTGGCTTGACGGACGTCAAAATCACCTAATGATATAGTCGAATCACCATCGGTGGAATGATGGAGGGACAAACGGTTTCATTGATTTCACTATAACGGAAAAACATACGCAAACGTACTGGCAATAAAAGCGAGTTTCAATGAAAACGGGCATCATGCCAAAGCAAATAATTCGTCGACCGGCAATTATTATTATAGCAGCGGTGAAAATCGGCGTCGAACTGGCGAGACATTGCCACTCGGTCTGGGCCGTGATAAAGCCAGCATTACGAACCCGTAAAATCATGAGCATACGTATAGATACGATAGCGTCCTCAATTTTCCCATACAGCTTAGCACATTTATATTTGACAGGAAGTTACGTGTGGTGGTCTATTAGCGGAACCGGTTGTCAACTCGGTTGAAAGTTGGGTACATATATAACTTATGGTTAACAGAATAGTCGAGACAGGCCAACTGTTGTGAAAAAAATAATAAAAATGCCACTTGTTTCGCAGTGTCAAGTGAATTCTGGGAAGATTCACACAGACAGAAGCTTACACGGATGATAGAATGATAATTGGTACCTCGACGGCGTGTTAACTTATTCGCGGATATGTGAACTCTCGTGAAAGGACTCGCTCGCATTTTTGACGATTCATTCATACCGCCAGAAAAAGCCTCTCATTTCCATTGAATAATTTTTTTCTTCATTAATGTTCGTTCATTCGGTTGAACAGGTTGACATCAGGGGAATTGCCAATTCATGGAATTAATATGGAATTCAAAAAGACCTGGCGAGTGGGAGAATTCAAGCTGAGTGTGAACTTATACTAGCCGATTCAAGTTCATTCTTGAGGTCAAGTCCCAGTCGACTTGAATCAGTACTTTGTCAGCACAACCCATTCAATTCAAAATAAATATTATTTTAAAATAATTTAAAAAGAAAACTATTCCACATCCTTACCAGAAAAATGCGAGTGTTTAGTATCTCCTATTAATTAATCAGCCGTTAGTCGTACAACGATACATCGGGCATATTCGGCAAGACTCGGATGAGTGGCGAATGGTACCGGTTTGTTGGTTTGAAGTTCGTGTCACGGAAACGTTCGATCTATGCAATTTTTTTTATATATATATCTCTCTCAGTCGTTCGGTTATTTTTTTTTTCCTCTCCTTTGCCGCGCTACTACCCCGAAGACCGAGGACTTTGCCTCGTATACTCTCTCTGGGATTGGAAGGCATCGACGGTATATCCGTATATAAAGCATAATAAAGGTCGGGACTTGGCAGAGTCCACGTGGACTCGATGTTAAAACGTCAGACAGCCTTTCAGGCTACTCCATTGGCTTGTCCACGAGTAAACACCATTTTCATTGGTATTTTTTCAGTTATGTTACGCCTCTTTATTCCACCTGGGCGTGGGGTAAATTTTTCCCACCGCTTGTTGGTGGATGACACTCATTGGGGATCCTTATAGGTTTAGAGTGATTCGTGTATGTCGGAGGTAAATGAAACGAGGGGAGTCCGCGCGGACTGTGGCCGAGGTTAAGATGCCTTGGCAATCAAGTAGAACCTTCGGGCAAGCAGGGGCGGTTATGGGTGGTTACGAAGCCGTTGAGGGGGCAAGTGGGGTAACAGAGGGGTTGCGGGGGGGAGGGAGGGGGGGAGAAGAGTACAAAACGAGTGCAGGAAGAAAGAAAGGAGAGAAGGCGGCCATATTTAGAGAAGGAAATCAGTGAGGAGCGTTTCGAGACGCTGGCTTCACTTCTCTATATAAATTCCTTTTTTAGCTATCCTTTTTTTTTTACTTTTTTTTTTTCATCTCCAGGATTCTTCTTGCGTATCCCGCTGATTTCGAGGGATACGAGGGGGATAGCGAGTCTATCTCGCTTATTACGTGGCTCACGGAATCGATTGTATGTGACCGCGAGGGACTCAAAGAGAATTAGTCACTTGTGCGGGGGGTGGAAGAGGGGGCGGGGGTATGGGGTGGATTTTACCGTGTTTTCCCGCCGCAATTATTTCCATCTCGTTCCCTTGGATCTTTCCAACCTTTCCAGCTTGCCAGAGCACTCGAAACGGTCAAAGGGGGATGTACTGAGCCCGGAAATTTTATCGGGAAAAAATGTAAAGGACTATTGGAGCACCCTCGTTTTTTTTTTTTTATTCTGAAGGGGTGGCCAGGGTTTTGTGCATTTTCTCCCTTTTTTTTAGGTTTTTTTTTTTGCGCTGTGATGATGTTACACCGAATATTAAACTCGTATGACTGCGCTGGCATATCTGCTCTTTACTCCGATGATGAAGCTGGATATAGCAGCGTCTATTGGGAATATAACCCGTGGCGATAAAAACTCTCTTGGCGCTTTTGTGTGCGAATCGGTGAGTCTGCGGATGGAATACGTATTTTTTATACTCGTGTAGAGGCATTTTGCCTTGTCGGAATTTTTCAACGTGTAGAGGCTTTAGAGTTCTCTTCTGTTAATAATTTTGAGAATATTCATTCGAGATGGGTGATATTTAAAGCCGTGTTGTCAGGCCGTTAAATGGTAAACTGGAAAATAATAGAAATATCTCCGGGGGAGGGAATAGATGTAATCGAACACTCAGTACGTGTTCAGACTGCTAGCTGACGTGTGGCATACATTTCCAATGCTGTGGCGTCATGAGAGCCTCGGGGATGCTTTTCGAGTGCTTTTTGCCGTCATCTCGCGCAAACGGTAGCTCTTGCACTCGAGTGTGGGGAGATGAGAGTGTGGAAAAAAGAAATACCGAGGAGTGAGGGAAACATGAGGGTGAGGGGCTTTTCTGATGTTCCCCTTGTGGTGATGTTACATCGCTTTTCACCACCGATCTCTCCAAATATCTCCACGGCTTTGTGGCTTTTATTTCTTTCACGCCGACCAAAGAAATGCAGATGTCATTCGGCTTCAAAGTGCAAGGGGACATAGTTGAAACGTCCTAGTGACCACTTCGGAAATTCTTAGGTTTAATTCGTTGCTCTTATTAGTGGACATTTGAAATTTCACATATCAGAATCCCATTCTAATTCTTTTATTGTGTAAGTTTCAATCTAATTTCGTTTGATAACCCGAGTGAAAAAAAATGTAATCGAAATATTTTTTCCAAATTTTTAAAAAAATTCTGGAAATCTTTTTAGAAAAGAAAAGTTACGACTTGTATTTTGGAATTCAAGGATTTTTTCTGGACATAAAAGTCTTTAATCCCCAGTTTTCCACGATAAAGAAATTATTTTTCCTACTGTATTCCATAAACTATTTGGATAGAGCTGCAATTAAAATGGTTAAATTTAGTAATACACTCGGAAAGGTAATACGCGATTAATGGCCCATGCCAATTGGCAGTTGAACACTTATCAAGTATGATGCAATTAACGAATGAGAGCGTACAGAAATATTCTTCGACAAATACTCGTGGTATATAATGTTTTGGCCACTTCCATTTTGACCTCCTCCCACTGTCATTGTCTCATTAAAATGTGCATTACGGGCGTACAGTTAATGCTCGTTGGTTAGGCATTCACGTATGCATGCATCTCATTTTCATAGCGGCGAGATTTTCGCGTGGATTGTTTTCAACATGTGCCGATGTATTATATCTGGTAAATCGAGACTCATATACACACCTCGGTTCGATACACTCGCTGATTATTCACGGATTCTTTCAACTGTTTCCCTTCTTTTCTTTTTGTACAAGCGGGCGGATGAGTGACTTAAGATAAAATAAATCGTGAATCCATCGGACCGGAGCAGCTCATGAATTTAATTGTATATATATATGAAGGAAAATTAAAAATGCAAGAGTAATAAATGCATTAACTACAATGGAACGACACACTGAGACAAGTTATGAGACGCGAGAATAATCGAATTAATGAATAGATTAATTAGTGAAGTCAATTTCTCATTTTTTTTTTCGGGGACATGGGTGAGAAATGGTCACTCAGAGCAGGACGGACACTGAATTTTTTTAATTCTCTCGATTTTTTAATTTTTTCATTTCCATCATTTCTTTTTTGTTTGTAATTAAATAAGAATGGGTAAACGAAGAATTTATAAGAATAATTAAATAAGAATGTTTGGGTGATTCGAGATAGACAAATCAGTGAAATTTTCGAAATGAAAAAAATTAATAAAAACGCAGTTTGGTGGCGGTTACGACTTTTGGCTTTTACGCAGTGTGATATTTATTTTATCTATGAGTGGTGGATTGTTTGAGTCGCATATCGTTCATATGTTTATGTGTATCTCCCCTCGTGTTTCTCTCATCTGCGCTCAATTAGGCTCACCTTATCCACTCCTCTGGTTTTAATGCTTAACGCTGAGCTATTTAGCACTGCAAAGTGTATTTTCATTTGCCTGCCAACGCACGCGCGTATGCAGTACCCCATCGTCCAGGGCCGGTGATTAAATGCGATAAAGTTACGTTACACGTGGTTAATGCTATGTAAAGGACATAGGAAGGATATAGCGGTTTCGAAATGAACTCCTGCACTCAGTATAATAAACTTTGTTTTGAGATTTCAAAAGGTGTTGACTTGCGACTCCTGAAATCCTCCATTTTAATTCTGAAAGTGAATTCAATTCTCAAATGAAGATGCCCAGCTTCACATGAGAATCTAAACTTTTCAATTCGAAAGACAGAAAATCCATTTTTTCTCTTTTCCGAATTTCTCATCATCTGAAATTTAGCCTCTTATCCTAAGATGTCAAAAGGTTCATTTTCAGAGCTTAAGAGATCTCAGCATGAGATCATAACTCAAAATAAACTTGTAATACACGTGTATCAAGAATTCTTGCAATCCATGCAGATTCTAAACTCCATATCTCGCGATATTGATCCACGCCTCGTCGACGTTTGGATTTTCCTTTTTTTTTTAATCGACGAATGTGGAATGTGGTAGAGATTTCATCTCGGGAATGAGAAAAATATTGATGAGTTGTTGAGCAAGTGTTGGTAATTGGAAAGGTTCGATTATCGGAGTAATTCTAACCGCGACACTAATTATTTCCGCTGTACTGGTTCTCCATCGGTTCATCGACGATGAGAGAATGTAATAAGATGGTAATAAGGCAGACACTTGATAGTCACACTCGAGCAAGTGGTCTTGTTCCTCATTATCTTTCTTCATGTCCGACAACACCTAAATTCAGGGGAAAAAAAAATATCTTACCGAGATAATCGTCTGGCATTTATACACGTCTGGATTCCGTAAGGCTGACGTCAGTCATTCGGGATGTTTCATGAGTTTATCGCCGGAGATAATCCCTCTCGGGATATCAGAGAGATTCTACTATTCACTTCAATCGCGATCGAATCGTTCTATGGGACAACTTGAGTATCTTGTCATAAATTCTTATCGGAATTGTCTCGTGATAACTATCTGGCTTTATGGCTTCCTCATTCTGTTGGCCGAGTCGAATAGAAAAACAGATTTATCCATCAATGAAGTGACCATGAAGTCATCGACACAATTGAAAATTCAAGACATTCCCTTCAACGATAGAATTTTAATTTTAAAAACGATCGATTAATTATTGGATTCCCATCTCACACTTTCCTACAATTCTCATGACAATCTGAAAATGTCTCTGCCCCCACAATGTCTGCACCGAAAATAATAAAAAAAAAATGCAACAAAATGAAATAAAAAAAAAATGGTGTCGAATCCGGTCGCTGCGGAAATAGATGACGCAGAGAGAGTCGGAATGAAAGGAAATAAAACTGAAACCCGAGGTCCGAGGAGAGAGTGAAACAACGAGGGGAAGAACAAAAGCGTGTTGAGCACGTAAGTGCAAGATAGTCGGGTGAGATGGAAGGAAGCGGCTTGCCACACTGTTTCAACAAACTCTCGAGGCAAGAGAGATTCGCGAGAAAGATGGAAGGTTAAAAAAAAGAAGGAGTGACCGCAGCGCCATCGACCGGAGTGAACAGCTGATATATAAAAATGTGGGAGTGCAAGAGAGACAAAATGATGCCGTAGTAGTAGTACCACGTGGTGCGAGAGTTCTCGGGTGGTGGAGGCGTCGCGGTTCGGGTGGTTTCGCCGTTGGGGGAGAGGAAGGACGAACCGCCAGTGGAACGTCGAGGGGGTGCTGAGGGGGGCGCCGAGGGGATACCGGTGGGGAAGGCATTTCCCCTCGGCCCGTTCCCTGATTAGTTGATACCCGACCGTTGTGGAGGTCGGTATGCTCCGCTCCTCAATAATTCTCTCAGTTTCAAAGTTATCCGTTATTATTTCGACGACTGCTCATGCTCTCCCAGCGTGTAACACGTATTTGGATAAATTACACTGTGATTACACGAGTGAATGCCAAGTTGTGAGTGATAATAGTGATGGGATACAATGAAGAATGTGTGGTTCAAGTGGTAACAGTACTTGTGATGAAAGTTTCGTTGGTTATTGTCGAGTGAAGTACGGGAATTTATGGTGTGGGTGTGAGGTGTTGGTGGGTTATTTTTGATAAATAATCGATAGGATTTTTTAAAGTGCACTCCAGTGGAAGAGCAGGTTAGGATGTATCCCAGTGCTGGCATTAATGCGGCAGCTGTGGCCGCAGCAGCTGCTGCACGACACCCGGTAAGTGTCCTTCCAACGTTTTTTTTATTACCGTAAATTCTTGTAGGTTTTAACGTTTTTACGACTGTTTATGGCGAAACTTTTTGGATTTTATGGGACGTGATATTTTCACGGAATTTTTCCATATTTTGTGTAAATTTTGGTGATTCTGGATGGTTCATTTACACGGAGAGAAATCTGCGAGAGGTTTCAGGGAATATAAATATTGTTTGTCATGTTACCTCTGTTAAATTTTGAAATATTTCACAAAGTAATCTATTAACTAAATCTCCTTGTCATCCATTACATCTTCGAAACTCAATTCTAGATTCCCTGGAATTTTCGCGGGGAATTCACGATAATTATTCCAGGAAGTTTAAATTCCATGGGCCTTTTCCCCTTGAATCGAATTAAAGGTCTTTTTCTTGAGAATACAGCCCAAACATTTAATTATATTTAGCCCCACCAATTTGTTTATTTCCATTCTGTCTGTTTATTTTCTCCTTGTGCTTCGTTATCTCCACATCTTGCTTGTTTTCATTGGTTATTTGAGCTTAGAGAACGCGCTTATTTCCACTTCCTGGAAATTTCGATCGTGATAATTAGCGTTTTATCGGGTGATAAATAATGAAGGTATTTAGAGTTCATCTTGAGCGAGTCTTTGTTGATGAGTTTTGCGTACATTCAGCCGTCGCGCTCCAGCGATTTCCTTCTGAGACCAAAGATCATCATAATCTGATAGGCGGTTTAATAATAGAAATGCCACGTTTTTTTTTTCTCCCCTTTTTTTCCCTCTGACTACTTGTATTATGGGGCTTGAGTTGATGCAACTCGAGTAACTGTTTGGTGGAGCGGCAGTTTAATGTTATGACTGGACTGGCGAGAATCGTTTTACGTCGGTAAATAGAGGGGTATTTTCTAAACAAAAAATACCGAGGGATTCGAAAGGTCTCCCATGCAATTCGTCAGTAGTTGTGGAACAAAAACATACGTTTTTTCTTGCTCAGTGGAACTTGGGGGAACGTGTGGATCGGATGATGTGGACGAAAATCGATAAGACTGCAAATTTTTTTATTTATCTCTCTGAGATTCATATCTCCCTTTGCCTGGGTAGATAATCGCGGTTGTGACAATTTTCCGGGGAAGAATGAGTGGAACATTGTGAGGGGAATGTAGAAGCTTCAGTAAAATGAATTTATAATTTTTTCCTGCATTTTTTAAATTTAACTTCTGCTGAAAAATCCCTCGTATTTGAGGATTTCTAGTTTGGAAAAATTGACAACTGCATTTATTTAAAGTTATTGCCCGACACTATCATGAAATATTCCGATAATTTTGAAGGCCTTGAAATATTATGAGGAGAATATCTGAACAGTGCAGGATAGGGTCTGTTTTCGTCGAATAGTAGGTAGTTGTCGGGATCAACCTTGGAAAACTGACCTGGAAACCGAGATGGCTTACCCAGCAGGGATTGCCAGGGGAATGTGTTTGCTAAAGAGGCTCGTTTCTCCTCCATTCAAATGTCTTCCCCTGTCCCCACCCTGTCCCAATGTGCACAATTACGGGTTATTTATACCGGCAATTCCATGATCCTCCAACTCTAAATTGCAAGATTGACGCACCGGAATGGTGCATGTGGCAATAAATCAAGTAGAATTTGATGAGTGAAGTCCCTCTGAGTTGAAGTATGAAATTGTCGTTACGGTGAAAACAGTGAAAATACGGGGATTTCATAGTTTCCTGCAGGAACTGGTTCATTGTTTATTCAAGATTGTGATTGAGTTTACTGTACCGATGTATCAACTGAGTTTACATGGACAGGGTTGTGTGAGGGTTTCTACTGGTTTCTACTCAACATTCACAAACACACAGACTTGGGGATATAGTCTCTTGGATAGGCCAGAGGAGATGGACGAGGTTTGACAAGCACCGAGAGCGATATGCTCGCCAATATTTACCGTCCTAAATACACCGATACTGGGGACAGTTTATTCATACTGTTCCAAATCTTCGGTTCAATGTTTTCTATTCGACTCAGAAATTCATGACCTCTTACAATCAATTCCACGAAATTCACAGATCCCCCATTTTTCTCTATTTTTTTTTGCGAGAATCTACCTGAATTCCCCACATTTCCAGTAATTTCCATGAGACAGTTCAGGCACATCAGGAACAGACGTACGGACTTGTCGTCTCATCGCAAGGCCACGTCGTAGAATGTAATGAGTAAAATACAAATAAATCCATAAAACCTTAATCTCTTCCCATAAATTCCATCAAACCGTTAAACAGGTTTCTTATTTGTTTGGATATTAGGGACCCGAGCTGAAGGAAAGATACCCAATTTCAAAATTTCCCAGAATTATTCATAGAAATATATATAGTGAATTTTCCTGTCTTACAGTGGATTTTATGGAGCATTATTTTTGTCCTTTCGTATACTCTCGGGTTTTTACGATTTATTTCCTTCCCACTTCAAGCCCTTGTACCGGATTCGCCAATGTTCGAGGAAAACCTCGGCTGAGGGAAAAACCTGACCAGGCACAGCCGGCCCTTGAGGGATTTCCGCATGAACAATGAAACTGCAGAATGAGAGCGTTAAAAATCTCTCTGAAGAACCGAATCCAAATTGCCCGTGTAATTTCCGTAAAATATCCGAAATGAAGGATTCACTGATTTTTTCATCAAGTACCTGGAAAATTAGTGCAATAGAAATTTTCGAAGAGGTTGTAAAAATTGTACATGAGTTTCTGTCGACAATTTTTAATAGTAGATTTGAAAATGAATTTATTGTACAGAGTATTAGATGGCTGAGGGTAATGTTGTGTCGCTGATGGAATCCCATATTTAAAAAAAATGATACATTTCGGAGTGCACGTGAAGGATACGAGTACCTTTTTACTCATCTTGCAGCCACTATGCTAGTAAAGTTTCGTCGGGTCAGCGCAAATGGTAGCGGTTTGCGAACTATCTCAATTTGCCGGCATGACCACAGAGACCGCGAAACCACGACTTCCCTCATCCCGTGGCCACTCTGAGTGGCCGCGATTCTCCCTCTATCTTCCCATCGCTCCCAATGTGCCACCTGTATATTCTGGTACTTTTGGTTTTTCCTTGCCGCCTCCCCGTCTCCACGCAATTGATGTTATTTCCTTTGCTACTCGAACATGTCCGTCCTACTATCGTGTGGTTCACCGGTGTCGTCCTATTGTGTCATTCGCACGTACACGGTGAGACACAATAAAAGAATAGTCCTAGCGAAAATGCGGGAAGAATTCAGGTGGTGCTCGGTAAAGTGGATTTAATGTCAGAGTACCGTAAAAGTTCAAGTGCTGCACGATAAAAACTACTATTGTCGAGACTTGAGAAGAATAATCTACTCAAACTAAATAGAACTTTATTTTGAGACTTGGGATCTCTGAGTGGGATTTTTGGAGTTCATAATTTGAGACTTTCAGGACTCGAATTGAAATTTTAAAAAGTTTCAGGGCAATCGGGTTTTATTCATTCATCGGTCAGTTCCACAAAAGGCAGGGTGGAAGTACGGTGTTGAAAAAAATTTTCTTCTCTGTACATTTCTATTTGCTCACTGATTATGGAGCAGCTATTATTATTTTTTTTACTCTATTCACTTAACGATTCCTCTCATCGGCCCCAGAACCCTTCGAGTGAGTCGACACACTCGTTCCTCACATTCCCACCACGCCTCCCTCCGAATTCTCCGAGAACCAACGGGGCAACTTGATTTGCCATTTAGAAAACCAGTTCTCGTCCATCCATTTTTTTCAGCTCTCTAAAAATCACATGAAATCCCGAGATAGCAGTCCTACAGTACTAAGAATAGTTGAACCTTTCTCAGATTCTTGACAACAGAAGTACACGAAATTGTCAATTATCCATAAAAAATCGAATTTGAAGTAAAAAAATTGCTGCAATCCGAATAACGCAATGGGAAGAGCGACGGGCCCACAATTCAGGGGTTCCAGGCTCGAATCCCGGTCTGGGTATTTTTTTCAGCAAAAGTATTCATTACCCATCTCGGTCGAGTGAGTTCTTTCGTAATTTTAAAAAAATTCCTGTCTTCAATGACAGAACTCCATCATCTTACAGCGAATCAGCTGTTTCCACAATGACCAAACATTGCCCAGTTGTCATCAAATTAATAACGAGGGTATTAGTCGTCAATGTATCGAGTAGTTGGTAGTAAACACGGAGTGGCCGATGCAATGAGACAGACAGCCAGTCAGACAGAATACCCACAGTGGATTCGAGTGCACCTGCGGTGGAACTCAGGGGCGGGCATGCAATGGCTGTACTGTAGTCCCATAGTTTCGGTTGTAGCGTGTAATCCTCGCGGACACCGCAAACATGTAATTAACACTTGCTCCGATCGTCTCTGTCGGATGCACAACGTGTACACTAGCCATCTTGCTTGTGAGTCCACACCGCCCTCGACAAACCCACACGTACAGACAAGTGAGGCCATCAACACCACACACAACTACCGATACAACTACAAACCCAATGTGAATGTGTGCTCGACTGCGGGCACAAACGCGGGCTCGCGCCCCCCAGTCATTCGAGATCATGTCGGCTATAGTGTTCCCGAGGATGTCTTGCCGCGTGTGGAACCCATGTCGCCTTTACTCTGAACCGAATACATAAGTGTGTTTAAGAGTAACAAGGATGAAGCCATAGCGCTGCACTCATCTTTTATGTCTTCCACCCGGGGCTTGTCTTCCATGAATTGTTTTCTTTACCTTTTTTTTTTAACTTTTTTTTTTTACTTTATTTATTTTTCAACCCCTGGCCCTCATACGTTGAGAGAACTGCAGCTGTGCTCGAATTAACCATTTGACACATGTATACACAACGGCTTTTATTGTTTACCTTTTTCACTCTTAAGTCGACTTCTGTAAATATCGTCGAGTTATTGAGAATTCGAGTGTGAATCATTCTGGGGGAGGGATGCGTGACCGGTATTGGATACTATTTTAACGCCGATATGTTTATTTTTTTTTAAACCGACACGAATTTTTATTTTCTCATTTTAAATTTATCGTTAAGTCTTTTAGGGATTGTGTGTATTTTGGAGTATATTGCAGGACATCGCACTTTTTATAATAACATTTTTCACTGAAACGATTTTCTAAATATTGATAAAGTGATAAAATATTTTTGTCAATCTGCGTTTATTTATTTATTTATTTTTCATTTTATGTTTTATGATTTCAGGGGCCACCGCAACCAGGACAGCCGTTCAAGTTCACGGTGGGGGAATCTTGTGATAGGATTAAGGAGGAATTCAATTTTCTACAAGCGCAATATCACAAGTGAGTGTATTTTACTGGACTGCAAGGCTCAGACGTTCATTACTCAGACGATTATGTTATAGGCTCGAGGTAATTCCTCGGTTGATGATGGAACGAGGAAGAATTGTAGGCAAAAATCTCATCGATTGCATATTTTTTCTTGTTTTCGCCTCAATAACTCAAGGATTCTCCAGATAATGGAGTGATGATGGTACTTCAGGGAATCCTTGGGTTTACGATGCCTTACTAATTGGTCAACCACACGGAGAGAGAAATTTGTTGGAATTACATCTGAATTTGAGTAATTGTAGAAAATTACGATCTTCGCGAGCAATTTTTATGTACAGGCCTGCAATTTTCAGGAAGGGTACCACTATTTTTTCCTGGAATTTTTTATTAAATTCATTGAAATATTAATGTTGAAAAATATTGCAGCTCATTAGTCGAAAAATTGCTCGCGAGAAATATGAACAAACAATTTGAATCCCCACGAATTATTTAGTCACAAGAAGTGTGAGATAATTTCTTGTTGGCGTGCTTTTTTAAAATTTTTTTCTTGCCTGAAAATTGGATAATGAATGTATCGAATTTTTTAACCAAATGAGGAGTTTGCAGAATGATAATTATTCTTATAAATAATTGTTTCAGTATGAAGCTGGAATGCGAGAAATTGGCGACGGAGAAAATAGAAATACAGAGACACTATGTGATGGTAAGAGTAATATTCACATACCCCTTGAAATATCATCTTATGGTTTATGCATGATCTAATAATGCCATTGAAAATTATTTTTCAATCTGACCTTTTCATTCAGTCAGTGAAAATTATAATGATAAAACCTCCATTGTCGGGAGTTTAATGCAGCCCGGGCATATTAAATTGCACCGAAAATTCGGATTCAATTGTACCGTACATTGTAGCTGTTTAGAATCACATTTAAACGTCACACTACCAATTCATCCAAACATCTGCACGTTACATTTTCATTCACACCCCAGAATATATCTAGCGTTGACTATTGTTCAATGAATGACACATTCATAGACATAGAAGTTAGGGTTTTCTCAGTACATCTGTACATGCAGACAGATAAATTTTTCTTCACATTTATCCCGCGTCATTTGATGTTGAAAAATGAGTTCTGAAAAAAATCTTATGCAATTAATCCAACAAGAAAAATTGTCTTCACCAATAAATCCGTAATCCGTAGAATCCATGAATCCCAATTGGAAATGAAAAAATAAAATTCCCATGAACAAATCAACTTCTATATTTTTCTTCACTTAATTTCTCCTCGTCCTTGATGACCGCAGTAACAAGTGGTTTGAATGCGATTAATCACGTCGACAATCTTCGAGGAAAAAACTGTCGAGGTAATTTATCAGATGGAGTCGATCTTCGTGATTAACGTACGATCTTGTCGTTAAGTAGTTGAGAAATTTCAATGATATAATTTCCCGAGTTGCCTGTTGAAGAAAGAAAGAAGAAAAAAAAAAGCCGCGATCGCATGGGATTAATTTACTCGAAGCCTAAAGAATTCAGTGGGATAATTGGTTGAGGCACACAGACGCAATGGGGGCAAGATTTTTTTTTTCCCCCTCAATTATGCAAGACCATCCCCTATCAGCTGTTCTCATACCCACCCCTTGTTTCTGGTTGTGATGGTGGCATTAGCCGAGTAACTCACTTACGGCGTAATTAATTCGCCTGGGGTAATTACCGAGCTAATGGCTCGTAAAATTAAGAACTTGTAAGCCGCATGTTTGTATATAACGCTTGGTGGATATTATACTAGCTTCTCGGTATTTCTCCCCTTCTCAAACTCATCCACTTCCGCATTGGTACATTTCAGGGTACGTGTGTGGATGGCCTTCTTGATTATAATCATTATGTTTGAATAATAGTGGTTTGTCCGCGAGCGACAATTCAGATCGCGTGACTCTCACGGGTTAAGACTTTGATCTTGTCGATTTCATTAGTTTCACCGGTGGCATTCAATCGTGATTGCTATCGCCTGTGTATCAAAATTTCTTGATCGTTTAAATGATTGTGTAGCGTCTAATCATTACGTATACTACACCGCTCGAAAATTACACTTGACATTTTTAATAACCACAAAGTTATGATAAATTTAAATATTGTTGGAATATGTGGCATTGGAAAACCGTGAAAATGTTGAGTAATTAAATTCAAGCTTTTTTTCTCAATTTCCTCAATTCACAATATCGCGTCATTAACGATTCGCAATTTTCAACAAAAATTGAACAGAATTGTCAATTTTTTTAAATAAACAATGAAAATCAGATTTTTATGGGAATTCAAGAAATTGAAATTGGAATATTAAAAAATATTAAGTAATGACACCTGCCAAATTGATATTACAACTCTCATGTTAAATTGATTAATTAACGAAGGAGCTCCTATTGGATAATTTTTTTACCGAAAGTTATATGTACCTGAAAATAAATTCGAGACATTCATTGTGAACTATCGAATATTTTATGAAAGAGAAAAAGAATTATTTGTGACGTTGGGGGATTCCAAGAAAAAAAATCTCGGAATTTAAATGCCGATAGAAGAGCTGAGGGATAATTAGATTTGTTTCTCTAATAGGGTAACGTAAACACTTGTATCTTTTCTCTCAATATTCGAATTTTATTGTTTTGAAATCCGAGTTAATCGAATTAGGTAGCGAAAACGCAGATGGTCATAATTCGATTTGTTTTTCTTGAAGACAAAAAAAAATATCTCTGAAATAGAGGCATCGATTCCAAGAAATGCGAGACACTCATTGGGGACTACCACATTTTTTTGTAAGAGAAAAAGAATTATCTGTGAGGTTGAGGGATTCCAAGAAAAAAAATCTCGGCATTTAAATGCCGATAGAAGAGTTGAGGGATAATTAGATTTGTTTCTCTAATAGGACAACGTAAACACTTGTAACTTTTCTCTCAATATTCAAATTTTATTGTTTTGAAATTCGAGTTAATCGAATTAGGTAGCAAAAATGCAGGTGGTCATAATTCGATTTATTTTCTTGAAGACAAAAATAAATATCTCTAAAATTGAGGGGTCGATTCCAAGAAATTCGAGACATTCATTGAGAACGACCATATGCTTTTTTAAGAGAAAAAGAATTATCTCTTCAATAGAGGGATTCTAAGAAAAAAAAATCTCAGATATTAAATGCCGATAGAAGAGTTGAGGGATAATTAGATTTGTCTCTTTAATAGAGTATCGTAAACACTTGTAACTTTTCTCTCAATATTCGAATTTTATTTTTTTTAAATGTCGAGTTAATCCAATTAGGTAGCGAAAACGCAGGTGGTCATAATTCAATTTATTTTCTTGAAGACAAAAAAAAAATCTCTGAAATTGAGAGATCGATTTCAAGAAAAAGAATTCTCATAAATTCAATACATTCATTGAGAACCACCGAATATTTTTTAAGCGAAAAAATATTTTTCGCACGATCAGAAATCTAGGTCTCCAGAGATTTATTTTTTTTTGTTTCTGATAAGTTCTCCACCACTTGACACTCTTCTCCTTTCTGTTCTCACATTTTTATTTCACCGTGTGGATTTATTTCCACATGTTTATTTATTTGCGGAACTCAATACTCAAAGGATTAATCTCGAAATAAATCTCGTCTGTTTCAGTACTATGAAATGTCTTATGGACTCAACGTCGAAATGCACAAACAGGTGAGACAAATATATGCAATTCCCATTTAATTACCATTAATAGCAGAATAATTAAAGTATACTCGATGGATCAAGTGCCATTAAACGAAAGAATGTTTGACCGATATATGGCGATAGCGAGAAGACCGCATTACAGAGAGACAAAAATTTACCAAAAATCACCGGAATTTGCACCAAAAATTTATCGCTAGCAATTCTGTATTGCGCAAATTGTCGTGATTTTTCACGGAATATTTATCTGCGTGTAATGCAAAAATTGTATATTTCCGTCTCTTGAATGATAAAGATTGAGTAGATCTGATGATTATTTATTGGAAAAATTAGTCGAGTGTTTTGATATCTCTTATATCACAAGGGTTATTTCATCGAGGATATTTTTTTTATTTATTCAAAGTAGATGATACGTTTTTGTGTAATTTATTTCGGAATGAATGGAGTTTATTAGAGTAAAGACCCCACGCGGCGTTGTGGCTCCCGCTGAGGAAAGGGACGGATTCAAATTATTTTCAGAATTACGTTCCCCTTCACGAGAGTTCACGGAGAAAAATATGTTTTCTTGAGTCTGATGAAGTACTACAGATTGCCATTATTCATTTATTTCCTTGTTATCATCTATTTTATTCATTGAGCTGTTATAAAGTGTCTCAAGAGACTTAATCGGAAAAATGCGGAAAATTTTTGAATTAAAAAATTTGGAGATTGATTTCTGACATTTGCTATCATAGAATTCAAGAACCACTCTGAACTAATATTTTTATCAATTTCAATTAATTGAATTTTGAATAGAAAAATAAAGAAAAATCAATTCGACCGTTTTATAGTCATTCTGTAATCCGCGAAAGAAAAAAAAATGGAAATTGTTAATTGCTATTAAAACCAATTCAAATAAAAACCAGTCTATTACCTCAGCCTCATCCTATATATTTTTTCCCCCTCCGCCCTTGAATTATTCAGTAATTCATGATTGACGATATTTTCATTAAATTTACAGACGGAGATATCAAAGCGGTTGAACGCGATAATTGTTCAAATTCTCCCCTACTTATCGCAAGAGCATCAGCAGCAGGTGTTGACAGCAGTAGACAGAGCAAAACAAGTAACAATGACTGAGCTAAACTCCATAGTCGGGGTAAATATTTATCACTGGCAGATTTATTGTTTGCAACAATGTCAAATCAAAGCAATGAAATGCATTTCAATTGGATTAGTTATTTAGTATTAGCAGTGGTTACGTATGGGTCAGTTGGATGACTTTAATTGGGTTTTACGGTGTGCAACAGTCGTACATCCGCGAACAATCATAATTGTTAATCGATTCACGGTTGGACAACCACCAGAGGAAATGCAACCGATGGAATAGGGGATTGGAGTTGGGTGAGGGTTTGAGGTGGGGGATTTTCGATGGAATGACGAGAGTATCGAGGCCCTTGCATTGAAATTCAGTAGCGCGAGGCATTCGACACCCAGCCAACACCCCAGTCTCCACCCCAGACTTATTTCATAGTGTGTATTACACAGATAAGCGATGAAATTGGCATTCGAGCGTGGTCCCCGTATAATTGAGTTCCGAGTTACTCCCTCGCGGTGCCTATTCCTCTGGGTCGCTTGATGGCGGATGGATATAGTTGAGCCACCAACCGCTACATGAATAATTTTCCAATAGCTACCACCGACACTACAACTGTAACTTCAACTTGCAGATACCCAACTTCATTTCATATCGCTAATTATAATTACAATGCTACCCACGATATCACAATATCACAATTGAAAAAACGAGTCGTTCGATTCGAGTCACTCGGACTTGAATCAAATGGCTTCGAATCAAGTCAAAAATATTGACCTAAATGGCTTTCTTTTCAATCCTCTACAAGCATTTATTTATCAATTGAAAGCTCTCTCCTCTCTACTACGGTCAATCTGCACGTACGAAAAAATCTTTACATCTGTCATGGAATGAAAAAAATCCAGAAAAAAAAAGTATTGACATGTGCTCAAACTCTCAATTCACCCGAAAATTGCCTGTCCCCATTCCACCTGAATATCTCCACAACATGCACTGGCGAATATAATCCCATTCTCGAATCCAATATTCGAATCGTGAGCTCGTCGCCATGGGAAATTCAAACTTGTATCTACCCTCCTCGTCCTGTCTCATTTTCCACCGCTCTCACTCGCCCACCAAAACAAACATTGAAATGCGTGTGGGTCCACTGTATACAATTCGCATTTTAGTGGCTACACTGTATTGTACAAACACAACAGATATTTGTACACGTGTTCCCAAAGCACTGTTATCTCGCCGATACGGAGGCCTTCGAAATTCCCATAACAACAGATTACCCTAAATGAGAAATAGTATTGACGAATAGTTATCATCAAGAAACATTTACCAAGGCCATTTTCAGAGAATTTTTTAGAGAACCTAAAACCATTTCCAACGTACCGACGGCTGTGGCTGTTGGTTGCCACACACAAGATACAAGATTGCCACGCGGCGGTTCCCGATTTGTTTCTCGTCACTTCCAAAAATTTGTTGCGCCCCTATCCCACTAATTTCATTGTCGCCCAGAAGTCTCATAAAAGAGACCGTCATACCTGAGTCTCTCCTTCAAAAATGAGACTCCCTTGTCCCTGACGAATGGGAGCGAGATGGCTGAAAAAAAAAAATAGGAATTAGAAACCTCGAATTTATAGTGAATCCTAAAAACCCGAGGGTATACAAGGAAGGAAAAAAATCCAGAGACTTTAAGGAGGGATGTCAAATGACCCGACAGCCCCTGTAAAAACAGGAACAACATGGGGTAAAATTCTCGTGTAAAACCTGCGGAAAATGTGAAAACCTGTATAAAAAAAAATGTATGGAAACCGTAGAGTGAAGAGGGAATAGCTCTGGAGAAGATGGAAGAGTGTGTGTCTGTGAAGTGGTGGGAATGGGGCAGAAGGGGGTTAGGGGGGAGGTTGAGGTGGGAGGGATTGAAGCCGAGGCAAACAGACCAAAGCGCCAGGGACCCATGAATATGTATTACTTGGTAAACAGGAGTTGAATCAATATTTCGTTTAATAACACCATACACACACCAATGTGCAAGCCAGCCGGCGCACACTGACGGTCAAACCGATGGGGTTGGGAATGGGGAGTTTTATCCAATCCCTCTCACCCCCTCTATCCAATCCCACCTTTGTCTGTTTCAACCCTTACCACTTGCCGTTCACCAGCTACCCTCGACACACACTCAATCTCACCCCGTTCAGGTTCACAGCGATTCAACCCTACCTCTCTTCCCTTTCCAGTCGCGTTTTCACCGCCGATGCGCCGGATTATTCACGGCGCGTTAAACCCCGTTTGGGACTATTACCGTTCCGTTTCGTGAGCTCGCTCCAATCCCAGCCAATCCACCGGATATTCCCTCCATCTCTCTTCATCTCGCTGCTCTCTCCATTGCGAGATGTCTTCAATGAATTCGTCATTGCGCACACCGCATGATTTGAATGACAATTTTATGTTTTATCGGGCCTGGGAATTTTATTTTTCACAGTTTTTTCATGCAAATTTTATGGGGAGATTTTCAACGGAATCCTGGTGAATCGAACATTATTGGGGATTTTTGGTCGGGAATGGTTGTGTGAAAGTGAGGGAAAAATTTATCTCGGGGAAATATTCAAGGGGGTTGGAACAAATTTTTTTTTTGCAATTTTTCTGGGTGAGTCTCTTGGCTTGGGGTGTTCAACGGCGAGCCAGTGGTGTTGATAGTGATAGGCATATTGGTTTAGCGGGTAATTACGTAATCCACCAGCGCTAATTAACTTTGTCTTGATTATTAAGATTTTGGGAAACCAAATATCGAATTTTCTCGAGAGAGAGATTTTTACTTAATTGGAATTTATTATTTTTCTTACAATTATATAAAAAAGCATGAAAAATATGTTTATATTATCTCTCTTACAATAACCGAAAAGATAAAAAAAATCCCCGGATTCCGTACTGAAAATGAAATATAATATCATCAACGTTACTTTATAATTTGAATAATTTCTCAATAGTGTGTGACCCCCGTTGTGTTCTCTCAGTGCGACGGAGAAGTTGAATGTAAAAATTAAATGGGCACTGGTGATGGCAGGCGGATAAAAGGAGAGGATGGGGGGTGGGGTATCTCCCCCAATAGGCTTAATGGACTCATGCATCCTCACCAGAAGTTAATTCCCTAACGAATTACAAGATCTCCCTGTACACGTGCGATACACAACTGTCCATTCACCCTCCATCCTCGACTAGTATTTGCTAACATTATTGTTCGCCCCGAAACATTCACTCCCCAGGCAGAAGGGTGAGATAAAATACTAGGGGGAAGATAGGTCTAAACTGGTATAACGATGTGTGTGGCCACATTGGCCCTCATACATGCCTGGAAATAACAATCAGAATCGATAGGGCGCTCGTCGGTATATAAGGGCTGTTTTCTCTCAATCTCATCGGGGCCCCCTTTTCCCATTCGAGTGTATATATCAAGCTCCCTTTCAACAATTGTCCTCAAGGGCGGTAACCCTAAATGCCTAAGTGAAATCCATGATAAGCTGAATTTCGCACCCGTAACGAGTTTATCGGGGGGGAAGTCCCCTTTTTTGGACCTACTACAAGGGCAGGGAGAGGGAGAGAGAGAAGCAAGGGGGTCAGCCCCTTGTCACATGTACCCTCAACCCCTGGGGGATGGCTTCCAAGGGTTTTCTATATCCGAATCTCAATGCCTGAAATAGGGGGGTTTGGCGTATTTGTTAGATGGGGATGGCTATCGAACTTTCAACATTAGCGACTCCATTCTTGCTCTTTCGCCCTTTTCCCCCTTTTTATTCACACTCTCGTTATTGTGGTTTGGGACTCCCCGCCAATCGTCATTGCTTCGCCACGTGTGAGATATGATGAGACATGTTGCGTTTAATCGGGGATAATTTATGCATTAGGATTTTTTGATGGTGATGTTGATTGGTGGTAGGACAAAAAAAATTTTTCTGATATTTTTTGATTTTTGATTTTTCACCGGGACAGAGTATTACTCGAGAATCCAATTGGTAGTGCATTTCCAGTGACAAAAAAATATGGTAGCTTTATGTTCATGTTCTGCACACAGCAACAGAGACCAGATATTCCCAGGCTACTCCAGCAAATGCATGCTCAGCAGTTGCCACCGGGTGCTGCGATAGGTCCTCATCCAGGATTACCTGGACTCCCAGGGCTCGGTCCTGCGGGGGGTCTTCCTGTCCCAACATCTGCATCAGCAGCACTTCTCGGACTCGGACTGACCCCTGGCGTTGCTGGGACCCCGGGAACTGCTGGGGCCCATCCACTCTCGATGCTCGGCAAGCCAGAACTTCATAGGGGTCAGCCCGATGATCTCAAGAGCAATGGTGGCAAGTTTTTATTTTTATTTCATTCAATAAAATTATTGCTCACGATCAGATAAAAAATATTTACCAATGCAGAACACTTCATGAATAAATAGAAGTGAGGGAATGATGAGAGATTATTTTCTTGTATCGAATCAGTTTTCTTTCCGATAAATAGTTTTTTGTCTGAGCATAACAGTTGTCGAACAAATAATTTTTGAGGTCGCCATAATTGTAAACACGAGGTCATTAACATTTTTTTGGAACACAACTGTTAGTTGCACAATTGGGTCGTTGAAGTGGAAGAAATTTCATTATCGCATGTGGAAAACATGTTTTTTTACGAATATATCAATGTTGACATTTCTAACATTTGTTGTTTTTTTCCTCTGTCGCAGGTCTCAGTTCGACGGAAGAACGACACGTGAGTAATTCACTTTCATGTTCAACTAGAACGGTGGCGAGTTTTATGGGATAATTGGCTGTGATAAAATAAAAAAAATAGTGTTACAGTATTAAAAGAGGAATTAGTTCAACGCGAGAGATAAAAAATGGTGAAATTTCTAATATTGTTCAACATTTCCAAGAATTAAAATTTTCAAAAATGCCGACATGACATTCTTATTCCAAAAAATTCATTCTGACGAGGAATTTAGGGCGAGAGATAAGTCTTTTAATATTGTGACGATATTTCTATGAGTGTATAAAATTCACTCGAATGAACACATGTGAGGGGCTCTCCGACCCAGAATTCAGACTATTTTTCAGGCGCGTTGTTTTTCTCAATAAGATACGGGTACACACGGCCGTCACGTGCTCCATTGAGTACACTTTAGCTAGCGATTTAGGTTTTTGTGGGATGGGGCTTGAAAGAGAAGACCTAAAAAGAGGCGCGTCTCTCATAGCCCAAACAGCAAAGAGTCAATTTTTCGCAAAGCGCAAGTCTTTCACGATGAGAGAGAGGTAAAAACTAATGAGAGAAAAAAATATATAAAAACGACTAGCGAAACCAAGGGGAAGGCGAAGATGAGTATTATAGGTTCGGCGAGTCTGTAATCATCGTTGGACCGCAGAACGCCCATCGACACCCTCTCATTCTTCTCCACCATCCTATTTTATCCTCTTACACGTTATACATATACTCGTATATACGATCACTCTTTCCACACTATTTCGCACTGGAGAGCATTTGAAATACTCTTTTACACTTTTCTCAGACCCTCTTGACACCCTTTTGTCTCGTTTCATCTACTCTTTTTTTTTATCACTTCCTGTTCATCCTTCTTATCTTTTTTAATCTCTGTTATCCGCGCTTTCTGTCATCAGTATTCTGGGATTATCGGAAAATAGGCAACTGTTGTGGAATGATTGGATAATCAGATAATTAATGACGAACAAGTTTTATACTCTTCAACGCGGAATATCCCTCAATAGAACAATGGTAGATAAAAAATGAAAGAGCAAAGAAAAACAATTGTTAAGAAAAAAAATGGCATTTTTTTTAAAGAGCACAATATCAGCCATGTGCAAATATTGTGGTTTACATGGTTCCGCATAAAATGTATCGTAATTTCGCTCGTTCCAGCGAAGTTCAATATCACCAGCGGACAAATACAGTAGACCGCGTACCCCCCAGGAATCCCATCATGCGCATCACTCGCAAAATCATCACGATCATCCAATGCACATTAAAAAAATGAAAAAAGAGCAAGACAAAGATGTGGGTCACAGTGACGGTGAAAAAAGCGATCAAGATCTAGTGGTGGATGATGCGAGCGAGGGACCAACGAGTCCCGCGGTTAATGGTACGTCATCACCCCGTGAGAACGGTCTTGACAAGGTATCGTCGTTGAATTCAAATGTTCAAGTGAAAAAAGATGTGCCACCCCACTCACCTCGCAGTGGTACAAGTAGCAATGCAAGTACACCATCGGCAAAAAAAATGGAGGAGAGGGAGAAGCCAACGACACCGATATCAAAACCCATGACACCTACATCGGGCTCGGGAGTGAAAACAACTAGCTCGGGAAAGCTATTGCAGGGGCCACCACCACCGGGAGTTGCTGGTGCATATCCACCGCATTATCCCCCGGGTCCACCGTCACATCATATGCCACCCGGTGGACTTCATCCTCACGTAGACATGATGGCGTACAACGGTTATGGAGCACCTCGGGGACCACCTTCGCTTCAACAACTGTATGATCCTCATGGTGGTATGAGGGCACCTGCCGGATCTATTGGAGTACCCGGTGGAAAGCCGTAAGTTTTAGTTATCTGGATTTGTTGAGAATTTGAATTTTGTTAAGTCACTATTACACTTGCACAATTTACAAAATGGGTCAACCTGGGATTTTGCAAAGTCTCGAGTCGTTTAAAACTTTTGGATTAATGTCGGTCAGAGTTTTGGATAATTGAATTATCAATTGGTAAAATGAACATGGATCAGGAATGGATGGCCGATATAATCTCCCATTAACCTGCTCCTCAAAAACATCGACAACCTGTAATATTTCTCCTTCCCCCCAGTGCTTACAGCTTCCACGTGCCCAGCGAAGGACAGATGACACCAGTCCCATTTCCCCCAGACGCCCTGATTGGTCCAGGAATTCCGCGTCACGCCCGCCAAATAAATACTTTAACCCACGGTGAAGTTGTGTGCGCAGTGACAATCTCAAATCCCACGAAATACGTGTATACGGGAGGTAAGGGTTGTGTGAAAGTTTGGGACATTGGTCAGGGTGCGGGGGGTGGTGCAAAACCAGTCTCCCAACTGGATTGTCTCCAGCGTGACAACTACATAAGATCAGTGAAACTGTTGCCCGATGGTAGAACTCTGATAGTCGGTGGTGAGGCGAGCCAGCTCAGTATCTGGGACCTTGCGAGTCCCACACCTAGAATCAAGGCAGAGCTTACTTCATCAGCACCTGCATGCTATGCTCTTGCCATATCACCAGACTCCAAGGTGTGCTTCAGCTGCTGCAGCGATGGTCACATCGCTGTTTGGGACCTCCAGAATCAGACGCTCGTCAGGCAATTCCAGGGTCACACCGATGGTGCCTCCTGCATCGACATATCTGCTGACGGCTCCAAACTGTGGACAGGTGGACTCGACAACACTGTCAGATCGTGGGATCTCAGAGAGGGCAGACAACTGCAGCAGCACGACTTCACCTCCCAGATATTCTCACTGGGATACTGTCCAACTGGCGAGTGGCTTGCTGTTGGAATGGAGAACTCCAATGTCGAAGTCCTTCATGCCACTAAACCTGACAAGTATCAGCTCCATCTGCATGAGTCCTGTGTTCTGTCGTTACGATTTGCATCGTGCGGAAAGTGGTTCGTCTCCACTGGCAAGGACAATCTTCTGAACGCTTGGCGCACACCTTATGGAGCCTCGATATTCCAGGTAACATTCACCTTATCAATTATTTTCGGCTGGCTTCGATCACATTTTTTTTTCTACTCCTTCTTTCTCGTTTATGATGTAAATTGCACGAGTATGATGGAAATTAAATTCACAAGGGGGCGGCAAGTGTCCTCGTTTCCTCCTCGTGTAATGACGTCCTCGAGCGAGTGTGCATGTTTACATGCATGTATACCACCCACATAGCGAGTGTGTTACCCATCCATTGTATAACCAAACGAGAGTTACGTATATCACGTTGGTGGAGTTTGTTTATTCCACGTCATTCCGCCCGGAAATTTTCAAACCAAACAACGCTATCCATCCATTTCATGGAGAAATACTAGGGGAAAAAAAGAGGAAGGTGAAACTACTCAATGGCTAGCGTTATAATTGGAGGGGATTTTAACAACTGTATTACATTTAGTTTTCCAACTCGCTTCAACTTTTTATACACACTCGTACTCGAAAAATATTTTCATTTGTATATCCCAAAGTTGAAAACATCAGAATGTTTGGATTGCGCAAGCCACTGAGTTTCAACGTGAATAAACAACATGTTGAAATTTTCGGGAACTCAAGCAACAGCTGCATGTGAATATTCGGTTCAATCCAAAAAGATTTACCTTTTTATTTTAGGGCCTAACTGTACTAACTATAAAAGCTTGATCCATCCCTCGAAATCGATATCTCCGTTTGTCATCATTTTAATAAGATGAAATTTATATGAGAGATTACGTTCGATTGATGATACAGGTTGGGTTTGGCCGTGTTGGATTCGATTTAAAAATTGAAAGGGTGTTGTTTATTGTACGATACTAGGTGTAAGGTGAGTTATTGAACAAACGGCTCTTTGTCTTTTCAGTCAAAGGAATCATCGTCGGTGTTGAGCTGTGACATTTCAGCTGACGACAAGTACATCGTTACGGGCTCAGGCGACAAGAAGGCCACTGTATACGAGGTCATCTACTAACGAGGGCACACGTACACACATCAATCAACTACGACACCTGTGAAGCCTTTCTCGATATAGACACTCGAAAGTGTTATAACCCGTGACAAAACGAAATATTCGATTCCCTGCAAATACAGTTATTGGTAATGTTACGCCATTGATATTGTTGTTGTTATGATTGTTGTACGAATGGCGCGCAATGCCGAATGGAAACGAGAAGTTTAGTACCACGAGAGATTGACAATTGATGCTTCGATCAAGCGCCACTATGTTGAACAATTGAGGCGAAGTTTGATAGCACGACTTTAAGATTTTTTTTTTGTTCATTCATTGAATCATCAGGGCTTGTGCTGTTAGGAAATGAATGAAATTTCATGGACGATTGACTGGCAATTTTCCGAACAGCGGCACTGGACGTAATTTTAAAGAGAAAAAAAAATCGAGAAATGTCAGGTGTCGGTGAAAATTCGAGGAAATTCTAGAAATTGCGGGGGCATGACGACGAAAACCCTCGATCTTGAATTCAGAAATTTTCTCGTTTTCTGTTCATTATCGAGAACGAGTGGAACGGAAATTGACCGTTCTGTTTGATTTTTCAAGGGAATTATAAATTTTCAATGACGTGCTCTGAAATTTCTGTGGAATAGCAATACGAAAATCAAATGTTCGGAATTTGACACGGAAAATTCAGACGGAAATTTTTTAATAGTGTAACCCCGAGGCTGATATCTACGCTAAGTTATCACGAATTTATTATTATGATTCGCATGAGAAATTGAGAGTGCGAGAAATAGTGTTTGCATGAGGAAGAGAAGTTTTCAAGTGATAGACGTCGGGTCGTTACTTATGTACACTTTGTATATAATCGCGTTACACATACTATCATATTTTTATACTTCGTCTACAGTCGATTAACAAATAATGAGGGAAACTACAGATTCCATCGATTAATGAATTGTACATAGAGCATTGTCACCCCATGTTGTAAATTGTTATAGACAGAATGGACGAAAGGGAGGGATAATTAGTAATAAAATGAGAATAATGAAAATTGTGTTGATTATTTTTGAGCAAGGAGAACAGGTAAGAGCAGTTCAATTCATGGAGTACAGTCAATCCTTTTCCCTTATATTCCGGCCTTTTCTACTGAAGATACAAGTGACATGGGAAACCACAGGAAAAATCATGCCGGTAAAGATGGATGTTCTATCATATCTTTCTGTCAGACGATTTTTCCTCATCTCTGGAGAACATCAGGTAAGATTTCATGTGTGTATATAATAGAGGTATGTAAATTCAAAATTATGCAAGTCTCCAACAATGCAAGTTACGGAAAAAAAAAATGTGCCTTGGACACGAAATGCGGCTGAATGCACACATTGGATTGAGTATCTAGGTATTAATTTCTCCCTGGATACTCTTTTCGTATTACTAAAAGCCCACTGAGGCTATCGTATTAGCCATTAACACATACACCTGTAAGGAGAGTTTTAAACTCGTCTTACATCATCGCGTCAATTTGCCCTGAGAATTTCAACGAATTATTCTCAAACTAGGGTGATTTGTTGAAAACTCGTTTCGAGCTAAAGTTTGATGATAGTTTCGGCGAGTTATCGTTCTCACGCAAACTGCAGTCGAGCATGCAACTTTCCGTCTAGTGGAAATCTTCGGGTACCTCATAAATAGAGCATTAAAACTGTTTTTGCAACGAAGAATTGCAGACTTGCCGGCGATTGACTCTGACTCTTCATTCTCAACGAAAAAAAAAAAATCACTGTTTACGATAATTGCTGTTTTACAGCGTACCATTTTTTTCACTCCAGTTTAATTTGATTTTAATAAAAAATTATTGGGTGGTTAAAGTTGTTTTAATTGAGTAATTGACTTTTTTAGTTCATGTCAATTTTTACGGTGAGCTTGAACATTGAAGATAAATGAGAAATTTCAGTTCTTTTTATTCAATTGAAATGCAATTCAATTCAATTAAATGACTGAAAATTCAGAGTAGGAGTAAAATCCCAAGGAATTTTTATGAGTATGTCATCGAGGTATCCAATATTTTTCTCATTTTCTCAAGAATATCGGAGACATTATAAATATAACATTCTCGATGAATATATATTTTCCGCTGTGACAATGTAGCTCGGTGGTACTCATTTTTCGTGGTAGAGTGAATAAATCCTTTAGCCGAATAAATAATGATCTTTTGACAAAACTCGTATAGTGGTGGTTGTGTAGTTAGTGTGAAGAATCCGATACACGCTGGGCTCACACATTCCACTCGTCCCTCTGCGGTCTTACCGGTTGGCATACTGTGGCAACACTAGCAAATTAACAGGCACGCAAATGAGCGAGTTCACGCGAGCCGCTTTCATGTTACCATTCATTTTACCCAACCCTCCCAAGCCCTCTCTTCACTCTACATTTTCACTCCACCCTCTCTGTTTCACAATTGGACACTAATAAACGTTCACGCGTTCAAGCGTCCACAAGTTTACTCGTACCTATAGTCATAGACCGATGGTATAATGTTCCTCTCCTATAATTCTGCAAAATGACGTGCACCCGTTCACACCAATGAGAAATATCAGCAAACAAAACTAGTCTTTGTCATTAGTTTCAAGCTAACCCAATATTTGTCCGCTAAAATATTTAGTAGCCAATGCGTATTATTCCCAGAGAATTTCATCAATGATGTATGAAGTATGAAGTTCCACAGGGTGTTAATTTCCGGAGGGAGGAATTTATTTGTCTTTTGATTTTTGTGGACTGTTGAAAATTTTTTGTAATTCCTGTCGCATGGTCATGTGAATTTTTCATTATGTGAGTTTTAATTCAATTTCAATTAAAAACTCTCGCTGAATATTTCATCCATCCCGGAAATTAAAAAAAATGGATTTTTTTGGTAAATGATAATTGATTTTTTAATGAGAGCTTGCATTTCCAAGCTCATCCTTAAAATGCAATATCAAATGCAATTGAAAAATAAAATTAATATGAAATGAATTGAAAATGAAAAATAAAACGGAATATTCGACAAAGGGTTCGACATAAGATCATCAGGTAGAAGTCGCGATGAGAATTTCACAAAGGCATGGAAAAATCTAGTCTAGGTGCTGAATGAAATTGAAATGGAAGAGTCCAATGGATGAGCATTGCATCTATGATGTGTTTGAATCTTGGAGTGTGAGGGTTTGTGGTGTCCAAAAGGGGGTTGCCAACACTAGCCATTTACCGTGTGCACATTTCTAAAGCGGCCAGGTGGGAGGGCAAGCGCACGCTCGTCGTGGGTATACCGGTATGGGTTGGTGGTTATCCAGATAGCAGATAGCCAGGACGGTGGTCTCGTTTGCGGTTTGACCACCCTTGTGGTACTCCTGCTCTAACCATTCCCCTAAAACCACTATACCGCACGATCCGCAGCCTCTGCACAACTTGTGGCGTTATATAGTCTCCTACTCGTTCCCTTTCACTACAGTTATCATCAGCACACCGCCTCTATCTGCCCAACCCTTCCAATCCCTCCAACCCTCCACCCCTGCACCCCTGCACTCCTGCATCCCTGCATCCCTGCACCCCCAACCACCCTCTTCACTTCGATCTCATAATAATGAAAATTTCCTTCAAAAGATTCATCTTCAAAGATGCTACTCAAAAATGCATTAAAGATTCAAGCAAATTTCACATTTGGTTTCATGATCACTAGATATGATTCAAATTAGTTTTATATTATTTGATGAAATTAGTTTATATTATTTAATAAATCGTGAAAACTCAGCTCATCCTCGTTTTTACATTCCATCCGATTAATTAACCGACACAAATCGATGACAAACGTGCATTCGCTGAATTATCACATCCCCGTATTCTCCAAATATTCGAATCTCAGAATGGAAGAAAATCCCGTAAATACATGTGTACACACCAACGAACACATGCATTATCTCCCCCCCGATTATTAGACAAGTACATACTTTATCAACACTCGTTGCACAAAGCGCGCAAGAAAGCATTGCCACAGGGTAAGGTACACTGGATAAAACGAGTCTGAAAGTACTGAGAGGTGTGGTATATTTTTTATTTTTTCTCTCTCCCCCAAAAGAATAAGGAAAAACAAATAAATGAAAATAAAGGAGAATATGGAAGGAGAGGCTGGTGAACAGAAAATATCATGAAATAAGGAGGAGGAATGAGAGATCTCGGGAGGAACTCGAGTAAGAAAAACATGGTTGCAGTGGGGTGGGAGGAGGTGGGAGGGTGATGAAGCGAGAGGGATGATGGGGGAGGTGGGTTAGAGAAAGAGGAGTCGAAAACTGTGGAATGAGGAGTGACGGGTGAGATAGCACTGGCTCGACTACACATACGGTAGTCGCAGATCGGCGAGCCAGACAAGGGCCCGAGCAAGCAAAATGGAGGGCAGGCAAGCGTGGAATATAAAAGGAAGAGAATTCATATCTCGTCAGGGGATCTTGCTGCTTTGCCGCTGAGAGACTGTTTTCGAGGGGTGAACCAAGTACGAGGAGGGGCGGTGGGGCGGTGGGGCGGAGAGGTGGTGGGCCGGAGGGGGACAGGGTGAAGGGGCCAGAGAACATGATGGCAATGGGTGTAACGATAGAGCCAGTTCAAGTTGGTGCAAGTGGGACAGGATGATGGGGTTGAAGAGGTATTGGATGAAGGTGGAGAATAAAGCGAGTCCGCGCGGACTCGGGATGTATTTTCAGGGGAACGAATCAACGTCGAGGCTTCACCAATGCGAAACGATGCAGACACACTGGTTGGGCTTTATACCGGCACCTCTTGGACGCTTGCTGAGGCTTGTATATCTCAAACCGTTGAACCACCCAAGGAGTGAGCCAGCTCTTTTGTCTATACTCTCGACAGCCGTCAATGCACTCTACTCTCCTCGTGTTATACGCACAATGCGGGTCAGGGATATGTGAATCGTGTATAAGCGGGTAAAAGGTACCGGAGGAGCATTGCAGTGGTCTTCAGGCGACAGGTGAAAGAATCGAATAAAAGGAATGCTCAATGGCATTAAATAATGGAGGTGAAAATTGCAAGTGCGTTCTACAGGGCACGGAGATGAAGTTTTTGCTTTTTTTTTCATATTTTGATTTTGTTTTCTGATCAGCCGCCGAATTTACGAATCGCCAGCTGCCAAATTGGAGATTTTCCGATGATCAAGTCATCAGTTTTGGAGCTGCGGTGGCGATGGGGAGTGTTCGGGGAAACGGAGGTTGAGGGATTTTGCGTAATTTAGGTTTTCGGTTGATTCAGGTTGAATATCACTTGATTCAAGTCAATTTTGTTGAAGTCGAAATGGTTAAACTGTTTTTACATTGAAATCGATGGAGTCAGAGGGACTCGACTTGATTCAACTTGATAATCAACTAGGGTCAATATTTTTTATATTTTTTTGGTAAATTTATAGTGGTGCTCAGGTGGTGGAGGGATTTTTAGTTGGCTGGTCCCGGTATTTCTTCAAGTTGTCGGGTCTATTAACGTCTGGCAACAAAAGTACGTCGCACTTTCTAAAGTGTCGCGGTTAATGCGGTACAGGGGATTTATCCGCAGCGACTTATTACCGGTGCCGTCTAATCGTTTTCGTGGGATCTCCACCAGGTATATGTGCGAGTCACCGTTATCTCTGAGTGCCTCGAGTCGACTTGTATTTTTTTCAGGTACTTGTTTTTTAGTGGTGTTATCTCTGGGTTGAAACATACTTCAAGAGCAATCACTTCACTCGTCTTGTTTGGATCTTGCCGGATGAGGTATTGGGCTTTCGTTGGGCGCTGGATAGTTTATCGTTTCGAAGATGTGGGTTATCGGGGGATTAGGAGTTAACATCGACAACTGACAGTGCGTCAACACAATGGAGTTGTCTATATTCGATTTTGAATCTACGGGTGAAGTGTAAAAACTCAACGATCTGTCATTCCATCTATTAAAAATGACGCATGAAATTCATTTGCTTTTTATCGCAGTCTAACGAAATTGTATGATCACGTACTTGTTTTTTTATTCTATCTGCGTTTT